CTCAGAACACATCAGATAACTCCACGTATCATTAAATTCACAAAACCTATAAATAATAAACCCATAACCACCTTCCGGTAATCTACTGATTTAAACCTGTTGCATTAATTGATTAAAATATAAACCTACTGTTTAATAAATCCAATGTTTGCATTGAACACTAATAGTCTCACTGTCTCCCTGCTTACACTCGTGGACTTTGGAGAAGTCGGCATGTCTGTGATAATATTCTCTCAGATTATCACAGAGTTGTGCCACTTTATCTCCATAGTATTAATATCCAATGTAGTGATTGACGTTCCTTAATGGTACAATATTATATTAATTATGTCTCACCCATGACTTATGTCTACGTTTGGGTGAGCAAGTTAATATATAATTATTATTCCAATTATTATTTTATGAAGTCTCTAGCCTCTAATTAAACACAAAACCCCATCATCAAATGTACTCCCAGCAGAACTGAAAAAAACCTAAAAAAAAACCAGACTGTGATTTCCAGGACACTGCACCTTTGTTTCTGGCCTCACTATCTCCCCGAGAATTGGCCCTCCCTCAAGGTCCCTCCCAATCTGCTCTTGGTAAACTGCAAACCTTTTATTGCTTCTGGTTTCATAGGGTATTGCTTCTGATATGGCCTATGATTAGATTTGGGTATCACCTGTACTGGAATTACCCCTTTTATTAATCCTACGTCTGCTGGACCCCGGGACCACAAATGCTCTGGAACTTATTTTAAGTCTGACTCCTGTTGTTCTGTCAACAGGTATTCCTCTCCTCAGCATCTGCTATTCTCATCTAAATGTACTCCGGGAACTGAATTGGCTCTCCAATTCAATTTCCGACGATACCTATCTGTGGATGGGCTGTGTTGATCTCCACTCACAATATTGACCCAATCAGTGATCATCTTACCCTTGGATACCCACTGGCCCATGTCTTTCCAGTCTTCTGCTGGCTCCTTTGCTAGGGACACATGTGGGCTCCATCTTTCCCTGAACTTTGGGGCCCTAGTTCCACCTCCACTGCTGCGTGGGTGTTGTCATAGTGAAACCATTTCAAGGCTATAGTCCTTTCTGTGGTTTTAAATCATGCTTCCTCATAGATTGCATCTGGACCTGGGTGTTGGTTATACCAGAGAGTACAGTGTAGGTCATCGGGGGACATTTTAGTGGGGCCTGGTACTACATCATCAGCAACTTCCATCAAGGTTCGGGGAATATCAGTTATTCCCCCCCTTAACAAATCTTGACTATACCAATAACATGGCTCCCCTTCCCCACAGACCACCATATTGTCTCTGACTATGTGTACTTTCATTCCCCTCTCAGTGGAAATGACGGCCACATTCAATTTAGTCATTACATCACGTCCTAGTAAATTTACCGGACACAGCTTAGATATCAGGATGGGTATGGTTGCCTCTCCTCCTGATTGGTCATGTTTTAGGGTTGTTGGGGCTGATAACCTTTCAATAAATTGATGACCAGAGGCAGATCGCACTATGATTTTCTCCCCATCACTCCTGACTCCATCTGGCTTGTCTGTTGCACAGATTGCTGTCCTGCAGGCTCCCGTATCACAAAGGAATTTAATTTTCTTACCCATTACTGTCAATGTCAAATAAGGTTTCTGTTCCTGTTGAAGTGGTAAATCAATAGTAGCCAATTCAAACACCTCACACTTTGGATCAAAGGGTTCCTTAGTTTTCCCCTCACTAGAGTCTACTCTTTCTCCCTCAAGGACTAGTCACGCCATATCTTCCTCTTCCTCACACTCAAAGCTGGGAAATAGACGACTGTTAGGCTTCTCTCTTTTTTCTTTCTTTCCTTTTCCTTTGGGTCTTCATTGAAAAGAGTTATGGCCTGTCTTACCACAGTATCTGCATGGGGCCTCACACTCTCTGGCGAAATGCCCTCCTTTGTTACAGTTGAAGCATCGACCTCCCCCGCTGTAGCCTTCACTTTTCCCTGCCTTTACCCGCTATTTCCCCAAGAGTGGCCATTAGGTACTCTGCTCCTTTCTGCTCTTTCTTGGCTCTGTCCTGTCTGTTATTCTGCTCATGATGGATTGCATGTCTCTCTGAGGCTATTACACAATTCAGTTATTTTCCCAACATACTCTCCGTGATCGGCCCATGGCAAAAGTGTCCTCTGGGCATCCCCTGAAACCCATTGCCCTCTAACGGCAGCCCAAACCTTACTATTCCTGTTTTGGGGTGGGTCATTCCTTCTACCGCTCTGGCCACGTCCTCTGTGTTCATGGCCTGTCTGCTAAATGGCATATTATTATTATTATTACTGTATACATCTAAGGTTGCTGGGGCCTCTTTCATTCCCCGCCAATAGATTAGGTAAGGCTATCAGTGGGTACTGGCCCCCTCCTACTCTCTCTCTCTCTCTCTCTCTCACTGCTTATTTCTCCTTTACACACCTTATGTATCTGTTTAAGCATGGATTCGAGTTTATCTGCGTCCAGACGTCCCTCAAAACCATACCTCTCCCTCCACCTGGTTACATAATGGAGATTTCTTCCATCCCTGGATTCCATTTTAATTACATCAAGTATTTCTCGTCCCCAGTAAATTCTGGGACCTCTTGTGAGGATTTGCCCCCCATTAATTTCTAGTGCTGACTTCAATGCTTTCAGCACTCTCTCGGTCTCCTGGTTGGTCATATTTAATTTTAATCTACCGTGATCTAACTATCCACATTTATTTATTACTCCTAGTGATCTATTTCCTTAGCGCTGAATTGAATGATATAACTCAGGTCCCCAACCTTTTATTTACCCGTATGTCAACCAAACCTATATTAGATCTCTGACTAATATCAAATGTACTACATACACTCAGTAAACCTCCTCAGTATAACCTAGAACCTAGCCTGTAATATGTTCACAATTACAGGACCTTGCCTTGGAGGGAACCTAGCCCGTACAGCTACGGGACCTTGCCTGTATTTATTATCCGTGGATCATTCAAACCGATATTAGTGCGCCGACTAATATCTAATGTACTTCATTCACACGATTGGGTTGGCCTCCCAAACTTCATTCAGTCTTGTTAATAGTCCCAGACGTATTAACCACAATCAAACTTGATACCCGGTATCTAGTACATTACATTCGTTGATATACCTATCGTTTTAATTTGTAATATTCGTCCGTTATTTAAAGTACGTTAATCTATTTATTTAAATCAAATTATTCCCACCTAATTAGTTAAACTCTGTGCATATTTATATTTCAACGATAAGCCAAATTATTTCAACCTCATTATTTAAAACCAGTATTTTACAGTGTCAAACATCAAACGTTAAATCAAATAATAAACCAAATTGCTTCAACTTAATTATTTAAAACCAGTATTTGCTATGTCAAACATCAAACGTTAAATCAAATAGTAAACCAAATTGCTTCAACTTAATTATTTAAAACCAGTATTAAGCTATGTCAAACATCAAACGTTACAGTTTAGTTATATCAGTTCAAACGTTTCAGTTTAGTCATACTAGTTATTCATTATTTTTACCTTTATATTCCCAATTTACTATTACTCCTTCCAACCTCTCCTCCTATTCCCCCTCTTACCTACAAAATACTCCACCGAACCTAGCCGTACCCTCGTAGTTACGGATCTCGCCGGTGTAATTCTTCGAACCTTGCTGTACCCTCGTAGTTACGGACCTCGCCGATAGCAATTACTAATTCAATTATTCCCTATATCCTCGAACCTAGCCGTACCCTCGTAGTTACGGACCTCACAGAGAGATTTCAGTATTTTCCCCGAACCTAGCCGTACCCTCGTAGTTACGGACCTCGCCGGTAGAACAATACTCTATAGTACCATGGTTTAACATTCACATTCACCACAGGTTTGCATGTCACAATACCGACAATATTTCTTATTTACTCATAATAATTCATAAATTAGTTCACTTACATCAAACAGGTGTTTCACAAAATTAATTTGGATAAAGCCAATGTGCAGAACTTTAGTTATATAACAATAGGTGTCTGCTTACCTGTTTTTAGTTGTCCGGACTCTTTGTGAAACACACCGTCCAACGACAGCGATGTCCAATCAGCTGGACAATTTCCAGCGAAGTCCCTCTACCAGATCACATCAGGGTCACCAATTGTTAGGTTGCGTCCATTCGAATCTGGTATTGGAACAAAAGAGGTCAACACACGTCCTCTAAGATTTACTAGTATTTTAATTAATGCAAACACTTGAATGGTAAATATGATGTTCGTATATACGGGCTCACTGAAACACCACGCAGGGCAGACAGGGAACTGACTGCTCAAACACAAAGTTCTTCTTTAATACTCTGACAGAGATAGTTCCTGCTCAAAGCGGGCCTGTCAGAGTAGAGGCTGAGCATGGTTTAAACTTACCCAGCGATGGCGCACAGGCTGGTCCCATCTCCTTGGCGCTTCACTGTTGCCGGGCATTAGTTCTTTTTTGCAATTTGTCTATAGAGTCAGCAACCCTCAGACATAGTTTCCTCCTCTTCATTGTTGCAGTACACATGTCCTTGAGCGGTTTAACAAAGAGGCAGTGTGTGTGTGTGTGTGTCACAAGTCTATCTCAGCCTCCCCCCTAACGGTTCCTCACATTAGTCACAGCTTGTTATGTTAAACAATCTATATCAGTACAGCACAAACCTATTATGTTTAATCATTAATGTATTCTTTTTAAGCTAGGCATCACATCTAATTATAAGAAAATAGATCCCAACACTAGCGTGTAACATAATGAAAGCCATCTGACGGGAATGGACCTGTTTGTCTGTCTCACAATCAAGGCTGAGACATGACAATAAGCAGCAGCCAAATGATTTTGGGACAGACTGAGTATTGTGTTACAGGAATTAATTATACATCTAAAAAGGGCACGTTGCTATAGAGGCGGAGAGGGAGTTTTTTTTTAACCACAGTGCATTCAGCCTTCAGAGTACTTTACAGTCGCAGAGTGTGGGTCAGGAACAGCAGCAATGTATATCAAATTTTGCCGGATTGTAGGAAGTGGAGGAAATGCCAAATTACCAGATGAGGCAAACACAAAGTTATCGGTTGAAGTGAAGGAACAGCAAGAGAAAGGTAGGCAGAATTTCAATTGTTGCTCGTAGTGATTGCTATATAACAAAGGGCCATTCACACCAAGAACGATACCTATAACGACATGTCCTCTTTTTGGACCTAAAAAAATGTGTCCGGCCGGGATTTCTAAATCGCCCAAAATGTCCGGGATTCGGCTTTTGCTTTCTACAGTCGCCATTCATTGTGTGCGTTTTGGGTTTTTTGCATTGCTTTGACCTTTCTCTTTAGGTCCCGCCTTCTCAATCATTACCCTCACCATGGCAACAGCCAAGAGACAGAACAGCAGCTTGCTTGTCAACAGTGGCACATGGCTCTAGAACAGCGTAAAAATGCCCAAACGCAAATGTAAATTCACAGACGATTTACAGAGAAAATTCCTGTGTTTTCGTCTTGGTCGGGATCCGTGTGAAGCAGAATGCATGATCTGCAAAGCTGGCACGTACGTGTCAGTGTCAAATAAAGGTGCTAGCGACCTAGAAGCCCACATAAACTCAGCAAAACACAAAATTGCAGCTAAAGGAGAGAGTTCGTCAGGTAAATTAATTGACTATTTTGTGAGGGCAGGTAAAACAGAAGATGCTGTTACTGCTGCAGAGGGAGTTTTTGCATTCCACACCACGAAGCATCACAATAGCTACAGATTAATGGACTGCACATCTGCCTTGTTAAAAACGGCTTCCCTGATTCCGAGACTGCGCGAAAATGTTGAAGCGCTCGTACTAAGACCAAAGCAATTGTCAACGCTGTGATAGCACCACATTCTGTCGACATACAGTGAGGGAAAAAAGTATTTGATCCCCTGCTGATTTTGTATGTTTGCCCACTTACAAAGAAATTATCAGTCTATAATTTTAATGGTAGGTTTATTTGAACAGTGAGAGACAGAATAACAACAACAAAAAATCCAGAAAACGCATGTCAAAAATGTTATAAATTGATTGGCATTTTAATGAGGGAAATAAGTATTTGACCCCCTCTCAATCAGAAAGATTTCTGGCTCCCAGGTGTCTTTTATACAGGTAACGAGCTGAGATTAGGAGCACACTCTTAAAGGGAGTGCTCCTAATCTCAGTTTGTTACCTGTATAAAAGACACCTGTCCACAAAAGCAATCAATCAATCAGATTCCAAACTCTCCACCATGGCCAAGACCAAAGAGCTCTCCAAGGATGTCAGGGACAAGATTGTAGACCTACACAAGGCTGGAATGGGCTACAAGATCATCGCCAAGCAGCTTGGTGAGAAGGTGACAACAGTTGGTGCGATTATTCGCAAATGGAAGAAACACAAACAAACTGTCAATCTCCCTCAGCCTGGGGCTCCATGCAAGATCTCATATCGTGGAGTTGCAATGATCATGAGAACGGTGAGGAATCAGCCCAGAACTACACGGGATGATCTTGTCAATGATCTCAAGGCAGCTGGGACCATAGTCACCAAGAAAACAATTGGTAACACACTACGTCGTGAAGGACTGAAATCCTGCAGCGCCCGCAAGGTCCCCCTGCTCAAGAAAGCACATATACAGGCCCGTCTGAAGTTTGCCAATGAACATCTGAATGATTCAGAGGAGAACTGGGTGAAAGTGTTGTGGTCAGATGAGACCAAAATTGAGCTCTTTGGCATCAACTCAACTCGCCGTGTTTGGAGGAGGAGGAATGCTGCCTATGACCCCAAGAACATCATCCCCACCGTCAAACATGGAGGTGGAAACATTATGCTTTGGGGGTGTTTTTCTGCTAAGGGGACAGGACAACTTCACCGCATTAAAGGGACGATTGACGGGGCCATGTACCGTCAAATCTTGGGTGAGAACCTCCTTCCCTCAGCCAGGGCATTGAAAATGGGTCGTGGATGGGTATTCCAGCATGACAATGACCCAAAACACACGGCCAAGGCAACAAAGGAGTGGCTCAAGAAGAAGCACATTAAGGTCCTGGAGTGGCCTAGCCAGTCTCCAGACCTTAATCCCATAGAAAATCTGTGGAGGGAGCTGAAGGTTCGAGTTGCCAAACGTCAGCCTCGAAACCTTAATGACTTGGAGAAGATCTGCAAAGAGGAGTGGGACAAAATCCCTCCTGAGATGTGTGCAAACCTGGTGGCCAACTACAATAAACGTCTGACCTCTGTGATTGCCAACAAGGGTTTTGCCACCAAGTACTAAGTCATGTTTTGCGGAGGGGTCAAATACTTATTTCCCTCATTAAAATGCAAATCAATTTATAACATTTTTGACATGCGTTTTTCTGGATTTTGTTGTTGTTATTCTGTCTCTCACTGTTCAAATAAACCTACCATTAAAATGATAGACTGATCATGTCTTTGTCAGTGGGCAAACGTACAAAATCAGCAGGGGATCAAATACTTTTTTTCCCTCACTGTATGTATCCACTAGAAAGCAAGCCAGTGTGTTCACGCAATGTAGGCTATGCTGTACATTTTCATATCTAATCTCAATATTTACTGATGGGAGCAATCACGGTGCTGTGAAAATATTCCCTCTGCTTGTTCAGTATTTTGATTGGAAGAATGGTGGCGTGCAAAGTATTAGTCGAAGTTAAAAACACTCCAAATGAGACAGCTGATATGATCGCGCAATACATCAAAGAAACACTGGAAAATAATGGGATTTTTTCAAAATGGATTGCATTTACAGGTGACAACTGCAATACAATGTTCGGGGGAATCCGGCGGGATGAAGAAGGAAAGAATGTTTTCGCAAATTTAAAGAAGTCATTGCAGAACAAATATTTTTAATCGGTGTGGGCTTCCCAGCACACGTCTTGAACAATTGTGTTCATTACGGGGCAGACACACTAGATGTCGATATTGAGAACATAATCTTCAAAATATGTCAATACTTTAAATGTGCGCACAGAGAATCTGAAGGAGTACTGTGAATTTGTTGATGTTGAATACAGAAGTCCCAGGTATTGAGAGGCTGCTACAGATGTTTCCAGCCTTGAAAGCATTATTTTTGTCACAGGAAAAAACACCCTCCTTGATCAATACGTTTTTTTGAAGATGAGTTCAGTGAAATTTACCTCTGGCACATGCACTCACTCATGTGTGTGTTTCATTCACACATTCGGGAGAGCAATTCAATTGTGGAAGTGAATAACCTTTTCAACAAAGTCCACACCATGCTTCTTGAACGCAAGACCAATAACTTCATGTCCCTTAAAGTTAAGGGACTATTGGCAAAAAAGCACAAGGATGGACTTTTCAGTGCTCAAGTACAGGGTCTGTACAGATCATTACATTTTACTCATTTAGCAGACGCTCTTATCCAGAGCGACTTACAGTTAGTGAGTGCATACATTTTTATTTTATTTTTATACTGGCCCCCCGTGGGAATTGAACCCACAACCGTGGCGTTGCAAACGCCATGCTCTACCAACTGAGCTACATCCCTGCCGGCCATTCCCTCCCCTACCCAATTGTGCGCCGCCGCATGGGTATCCCGGTCGGAGCCGGCTACGACAGAGCCTGGATTCGAACCAGGATCTCTAGTGGCACAGCTAGCACTGCGATGCAGTGCCTTAGACCACTGCACCACTCGGGAGGTGCCTGGAGTATCTGGAGAAATGGATGGCACCCATGGAGGAGTTCTCCTCTTTCATGTGGATGGATCTGAGTGAGACACCTGACTGGAATGACATAGAAGCCTGTATCAAACACCTGGGAGGAAAGGGGGTGCCAATTGATGATGCAAAGTGCTTTGATCAGGTCACCAACCTGAAGAAATTCACAGAAAGGTGTAACAGTGATGGAGAGTTCAGTAATCTGCAAGCACACAAGAAGTGGACCAAATATTTTGAAAGGTCCAAAAACATAGATTTTCATTCAGAGCTACTGAAGATTGCACAGTTTTTCTTTGCTATTCCTTCTCACAATGCAAATGTAGAGAATTTATTTTTTCACTGATGCAAAGCCAGTGGACAAAGGAAAGGAATCACTTGTCTGTTGAGTCACTGAAGGGGCTTCTGTGTACACAATACAACTTTAAAAACATGTCTTGCAAAGACTTTCATACCTACTTGATTGGTAATCAAGGACTGTTGGGAAAGATTCGATCTTCGGGAAAGTATACCAGAGAGCATCAGGAGGACTGACATTATTTTTGACTGAAATAGTGGATTTTTTTATGACAACTGTTTATTTTATTTTATTTTAACCTATGGCCATGAAAAGAAACAGTGTCATGTAAAAGGTGTTAAAAGCTAAACTATTTTTTGTTGTTGTTGTTATTATTCTATTGTTGAGGGCCAACAGTTGAATGGAAAGGATGTATTACTTTATGTATTAAAGTTCAATAACATAGTTGCATGGTTGTGAACGCATTTGTATTTACCACCCACTGCGGGTGTCCGTCTGCCTCCCGCTCCCACTGTCCTCTTTTTTGAAAACAAAAATATGGTCACCCTATATAACGAACTATAACATCAAACAATTAACAATTAAAATAGTTATAATTCTAGTGAACAGGAGCGTTCATACTACAACGATAACTACAAAAAGAGTGGAGAACGATAACGACATCTATCTATCGTTTGGATCACTTTCAGAGCGACGATAAAACATTGACAACCAATCAAAAATACGTTATATTGGAGGGTTCTTGGTTCTAGCTGGTTTAGGCTGCTCAGAGGAGAGAAGAGCGCACAGTAAACTTGCCTGATATAGGAGGATTTGGGAGAATGATGATCAAAGACAAACAGCGCATATCAGTATAAGAAGGCCATATTTTCCGATGGTATCTGATAACGCCAATACATCCTGACAAAGTACACACAATGACTGGCTTGCTAATGTGCCTATCGGAACCTTGTCAACTGTCGAGAAAAGACCCATTACTAATCCAAATGGTTGCCTAATCCGGTCTAGGATAGATTATTATTATTTCGGAATGAAACATGCATTCAAAACGCAAGGCTTTTTAGCGGTTATTGAAATGATAAATAAATGTTTATACACTGAGTGTACAAAACATTAGGAACACCTGCTCTTTCCATGACATAGACTGCCCATGTGAATCCAGGTGAAAACTATGATCCCTTATTGATGTCACCTGCTAAATCCACTTCAAGCAGTGTAAAACCTCTTAAGTTGACAGTCCCCGAAATCGGGCACTAGAATTACTTTAAAAATATGTATATGTTTACATGACGTATTTTATTGACAGCCATCCAGACCTTCCTAGGACCATGTCAACGTCCTCTATCGAATAAACTTGTATTTGCCTCCCTCTGGTGGTCGGCTGCATCATTACATCAATTTATATCACTTCACTGCAACGTTAGGTCAAAGGGGCGGTCCTTAGAAAAACATTTATCCAGCTTGACTGCTTCACGGCACAGACATGGCAAAGCAATCGCTGAATTTGTCTCGAGCCGGCGGAACTAAATACATAACATTCATAGCTCTACGATAAAGAATGTGACGTACACACTTCCTTCAACCTAAAATAAGTAAAGAAGTAATTTTGTGTGGAAGTCAAACATTTTACGTCGGAGGCAGACACATTGCATATGCGCAGAATGACAAAATGGAGCCCTTTACATAGCCCTTGTCCCCTTGTCTATAGGAGGGACGCACACTGTTTAAATTGCCCAAATGTTGATTTAGACGTTCACAAATCTAACAGATTTGGACTATCACTCATGTCATGATATGTTTGGTCAAGTAATAAAGAAGGTAAAATATTTTGGGTAGATGTTCCTTTAACATTATAACTATATATGGACATATTATAAAGTATGAAAAGGCTTATTCATTCACAATTTAAAAAAACATCTTATTTTCATATTTGTATATGTTTTATTATACCTGTATTGTGTACTAGATCATATGGGTTGAAAAGTGTTTTTTTCTCAGACATAAATAAACTATTCCAGGTGGCCCCGTGTAGCTCAATTGGTAGAGCATGGCGTTTGCAATGCCAGGGTTGTGGGATCGATTCCCACGGGGGGCCAGTATGAAAAAATGTATGCACTCACTAACTGTAAGTCGCTGGATAAGAGCGTCTGCTAAATGACTAAAATGTGAAAGCCAAAGGTCATAGCTTTCTGGGGGGAACACTACTACATTAATAAAATATTGCCCTCTTGCTAGATTGATGACGAAAACCATAGCAAAACAGTGCAAAACGGCTGTCAACTCAGAAGGAGTTTTAAGCCTTGAGACAACTGAGACATGGATTGTGTGTGTGCCATTCAGAGGGTGAATGGGCAAGACAAGATTGAAGTGCCTTTGAACGGGGGATGGTGGTAGGTGCCATGCGCCCCGGTTTGAGTGTGTCTACAACTGAAACGCTGCTGGGTTTTTCATGCTCAACACTTTCCTGTGTGTATCAAGAATGGTCCAGCACCCAAAGGACATCCAGCCAACTTGACACAACTGTGGGAAGCATTGTTATCGGTATGGCCCTTAAGACTATTCTTTCCTTGTCTAGACCTGCAGGTCCTGGGGAACGTGGGTCTGTACCGCGCAGTGTGCTTACTACTGTCCATCATCTGTCTGGTTCTACTGCTCGTCATCATCATCCTCTGTGTCAAATGTGAGTATCATAGACATTCTATTCTAGAATAGTGATTTAGAAACAGAATATCCAGCATGTTGGGTTAGATAGCCTTCTAAGCAAGAAATAACTAAACAAATGTGTAATATGACACCATTCTCTTATACTTTCTTTCTTTCTTTCTTTCTTTCTTTCTTTCTTTCTTTCTTTCTTTCTTTCTTTCTTTCTTTCTTTCTTTCTTTCTTTCTTTCTTTCTTTCTTTCTTTCTTTCTTTCTTTCTTTCTTTCTTTCTTTCTTTCTTTCTTCATTATTCTCTAGTTCCATCCCAGCCTCTGGTCTGTCATGGGACTGAAAAAGGGATTGAGGCTAAAGAGGAGGGGAGTGTGAATGAAAAAGGGATTGAGGCTAAAGAGGAGCGGTTCCAGTCCACTGAGGTGTGCAGCCTGCAGACATGCCAAGCACAATACTTCCAGCAACAGAGCCAGGGTGAGTCCACTACTGTAGTGTGTTAGTCTAATGTAGCCTATTAAACTATATCTCTCTACATATTGTATCAATGTATCAATCTAATGCTTTGAGATGTATTGTACCACTACAATGTTTTCTCTTAGACTTTATACCATGCTAATAACTAATTATTTTATCTAAATTTATTAACTGAACCTTATGTTGTACTTTAAGAGTAATTTCCCTCCTTTCCTCCAGTCCCTGGCTGCCATACGTGTGATAAAGGCTGGCTGCACTTTGAGAGCTCCTGCTACTTCCTCTCCAGAGACAGATTGAACTGGGACGAGAGCAGGGACGAGTGTAAGAAGAGAGGGGCAGATCTGGCCGTCATAACAAACAAAACAGTGCAGGTGGGTCTACTACAACTGTCACTCTTTTCTGCCTCTTTTTTCTCTTTGTATAACAGTGACCATACAATGATGATAGGAAAGCAACAGTGATTGATTGACAATCATACATAACAGTAAGATTGACTAAGGATACTAATAGTCCAATAAAAACTGTGTAAAAACAAATCATTGTCCCAGACCTTTCTGACGGCGAAGGGGAACCTGATGTACTGGATTGGTCTGAGACAGAGAACCAGGAACTGGGTTTGGGTCAACAACACTGCACTGGCACAGAGGTGAGACAACCGATGATGATAACAAATGTAATGTTTTAGTATGGACAGTACTGAGCTGTTCCCTTTCCTCTCATTGGTAGTTACTGGTCAGGATCCAACAGACAAGGGGATTGTGGGTTACTGACAGGAAGGGATCCTCCTGAGAGAAGCTGGAGCTCGTCATCATGTGACCAGTACAGCTTCTACATCTGCCAGAGGGGGCGCTAAAGGACAGACTACACCATCTGCCAGCAGTCACCAACCCTGGTCCTGGAGCGCTATATGATGTACAGGCTTTTGTTCCAGCCCACCAGTAAGACACATGATTTACCTAGTCAATGAATCACCTTGATTAGCTGAATCATTTAAGTGTTGTACACCATGTAGCTCAGCAGGGTTGGTGGCTACTGCCATATGCCAACTAAGAAACTGGCAATTCGGCTTCTCTTTAGACTTCCATCTATCATTCACTCCTATTCCATAGCCTTTTATACCATGATTACACATCTCTATCAATAGCCTTTTACACCTTGATTATATACTTTTTGACATACGTCTATGTTATAATTCATTCATTAGACATCCAGGTATGACCTAGATTACAGTTATTTATGCCTTAAGAAGAATAATCAAGTCAGCCTGCCAGTTTCAGTTAGAATTTGCACTAATGTTAAAGATTAACACTATATATTGCACTTATTTGCTTGTTTTGGTGAGATGTTTCTATATGTTTTTTTTAATGACTTTGAATGTAATAATGATCTACATTATTATGTGCATTAACCAATCATTAGGTTTTATGTTCTGATTTACAATCCTGAAAGGAAAAAAAGTTTTATATAATTTGTTCCTGTAATAAAGAATCAGTTAATATACTGTCTAGTCAAATCTTTAATAAAAAGTGTTTGCATGCTTAACTTGGAATGATAAAGTAACTTACATGGTCCAAGAAAATTGTAAATGAATCTAGTCTACATTTCAACCCAGTCTTACCTATATACAATAGCTACTACAATAAAATATTTTGTTTTCGACATATATTACTGCATACACTCATGCAGGGGTGTCATGCACCCATTATTTTAGAGGGGGCAAGAAGTACGTGAGGATGCAGGGTGGATGGTCAGCCCCCCTCCATAATTATTAAGCCTCTTTACCTGTTCAATTGTTATTTTAATTAATGATGCACATTGATTCTTTAAGAACTTTTATGCCTTGGGAGTTTAGTACAACTGCTACACTGGAACACTACATTACCAAAAGTATGTGGACACATGCTCGTCGAACATCTCATTCCAAAATCAGGGGCATTACTATAGAATTGGTCCCCCCCTTGCTGCTATAATAGCCTCCGCTCTTCTGGGAAGGCTTTCCACTAGATGTTGGAACATTGCTGTGGGGACTTGCTTCCATTCAGCCACAAGAGCATTAGTGAGGTCGGGCACTGATGTTGGGCGATTAGGCCTGGCTCGCAGTCGGCGTTCCAATTCATCCCAAAGGTTTTCGAAGGGGTTGCGGTCAGAGCTCTGTGCACGCCAGTCAAGTTCTTCCACACCGATCTCAACAAACCATTTCTGTATGAACCTCGCTTTTTGCACGGGGGCATTGTCATGCTGAAACAGGAAAGGGCCTTCCCCAAACTGTTGCCACAAAGTTAGAAGCACAGAATTGTGTAGAATGTCATTGTATGCTGTAGCGTTAAGATTTATTTTCACAGGAACTAAGGGGCCTAGCCCGAACCATGAAAAACAACCCCAGACCATTCCTCCTCCACCAAACATTGTAAAGTGGTTATCCCACTGGCTATATGGTGGATGCACCTATTTGTAAGTCGCTCTGGATAAGAGCGTCTGCTAAATGACGTAAACGTAAACGTAAACGTAATACATTCGTGCAGGTAATGTTCTCCTGGCATCCGCTAAACCCAGATTTGTCCGTCGGACTGCCAGATGGTGACAGGTGATTCATCACGTTTTCACTTCTCCAGAGTCCAATGGCGGCGAGCTTCACACCACTCCAGCCGACGCTGTCATTGCGCATGGTGATCTTAGGCTTTTGTGCGGCTGCTCAGCCATGGAAACCCATTTCATGATGCTCCTGACTAGCATATATTTTGATGATGTTGCTTCCAGAGGCAGTTTGGAACTCGGTAGTGAGTGTTGCAACCGAAGACAGACTATTTTTTACACGCTATGCGCTTCTGCACTCAGCGGTCCTGTTCTGTGAGCTTGTGTGGCTTACCACTTTGCGGCTGAGCCATTGTTGCTCCTAGACGTTTCCACTTCACAATAACACCACTTACAGTTGACCAGGGCAGCTCTAGCAGGACATAAATTATGAACTGACTTGTTGGAAAGGTGGAATCCTATGATGGTGCCACGTTCAAAGTCACTGAGCTCTTCAGAACGGGCCATTCTACTGCCAATTTGTGTCTATGGAGATTGCATGGCTGTGTGCTCGATTTTATAAACCTGTCAGCAACGGGTGTGGCTGATATAGCCGAATCCACTAATTTGAAGGGGTGTCCATATACTTTTTTGGTGTATATAGTATCATAACACAAGAATTAAAGCAATGTTTTTATTTCCTAAAGTCTAGCAACCTTGCCAGTTGGCATGCCAGCTAAGCTAGTTAGACAAGCCATTCTAACTTAATTGATAGCCTGACATTGACGTTAATTAACATAAACACATTTAGCATCTCCTGGCTTCCACACATTGCCTACAAGCCACTGGTGTAGACCTTTGGAACATCTACATTTTGCAAGTCTCTTGGGGTATGTCTCTATAAGCTTGGCACATCTAGCCACTGGGATTTTTGCCCATTCTTCAATGCAAAACTGCTCCAGCTCCTTCAAATTGGATGGGTTCCGCTGGTGTACAGCAATCTTTAAGTCATATCACAGATTCTCAATTGGATTGAGGTCTGGGCTTTGACTAGGCCATTCCAAGACATTTAAATGTTTCCCCTTAAACCATTCGAGTGTTGCTTTAGCAGTATGCTTAGGGTCATTGTCCTGCTGGAAGGTGAACCTCCGTCCCAGTCTCAAATCTCAGGAAGACTGAAACAGGTTTCCCTCAAGAATTTCCCTGTATTTAGCGCCATCCATCATACCTTCAATTCTGACCAGTTTCCCAGTCCCTGCCGATGAAAAACATCCTCACAGCATGATGCTGCCACCACCATGCTTCACTGTGGGGATGGTGTTCTCGGGGTGATGAGAGGTGTTGGGTTTGCGCCAGACAGCATTTTTTTCATTTCACTTCACCAATTTGGACTATTTTGTGTATGTCCATTACATGAAATCCGAATAAAAATCTATTTAAATTACAGGTTATAATGCAACAAAATAGGAAAAACGCCAAGTGGGATGAATACTTTTGCAAGGCACTGTTGGTACTCCTATATGTTTAATTTAGAGTTATTAATGTAACTTTACTTGTTCTACAAACGTTGGGCTATATGTTTTGATTTGTAATACATTATAAGGCTGCATGATGCGACTCTAATGATGATTTGAAAAAAGTCGCTTGAAAGGCATGAGCTCTGCGTTGTTTTTGGCGCAGGCTGTACTCACTTTATCAGTCTGTCATTCACAATTTGACAAGCACTTGATAATGCCTCGAATTTCACGGCGGGATCCCATTTGTGTGGCCATAATGCACCCTACAAAAATCCATGCCTTTTGTGGCCAGTGGCCGTTGTGCCCTTGGCCCAGAGTGCTGCGTTGTGCCCTTCTCCCTGAGTGCTGGGCGCTCCGAAGCACCTCTCATTCACATGGCTCTCCATCACATGAATGGGTCTTTCTCACAGGCTAGAAGTGAAGACAGACACATCGGGGATGCAACTGCATATTGAAGATATTGGAAGAACTGTCCACATTTACTTTTCGTCAGCCAACAAGATGAGTAGGCCTAACGAACAGCAAAAGCAATCTTTGTCAATCTACTATCTCCCATAGTACAAGAGTCGACCTATTCTATTCTGTGCGAGAAATAAATATTCCAAACATAGTCTGGGACAGTTGTGGGATGCGATAGATTCCAAATTAATACAACCACCAGCATCAAAAAACCTTTTTTACGCAATGTGGCTGACGCAACAGATCAGAACGTTTCGCTTTAAATGTTGATAAACTATTCGGCTATTTCTTCACATTATAAGTGCAGCAATGCGCACATGGCAGTAGGCTATAAGCACAAATGTTCCATTAGTGGGAAAACACCATTATCAAAAGTGACCGCAAATGCAATTATGCATGTAATGCTTTTATTATTTAGTTGTGATACAAACCTTATCAAAACATATAGGCCTATGGGCTAGGCTACATGAGGTGTGCGACTATGATTCGAAAAAGTCGCAAAAAAAAGCTTTGTTTCTTGCCTTATGCTGGGCATCATTCACAAGTGATAATATAATAAGTGATAGGCTAATATTGTCACCCATCAGACTATTCTTGATTATAATCTTGCCTTTACATATACTAAATAATTAGCCTATCATATGTGAAATTTGTTTTGATTTAGGATGGACCATTATCATGCACCTGTCTCGAAACAGGGCAACGGGAAAAATACATGTAATCTATGCACGAATGGAGGACGCTTTTCCCGTGGTTCATTTTCATGCCAGCCAGGTAGGCTATACTCCTGTTGTAAAGAGAAGCAATGTGCTTAATATTAGGAAAGTTGAGAAATAAATATAGTAGGCCTAGCCAATAGAAAGCTGATGGGATCCTCCTCTTTTTAATAGAGGCCATCACTCTGTTTTCTTGCGCAATTGCATAGCCTATAGAAATGTTGCGCAACATGAGCTCATGGGCTCTCATTAAGTGTTTGATTAGATTTTAGATTATATTTGCATTGATGTCAGAGTGATTAGAGGGACAATAGAGTGCTGAGTACCAGGCAGTTAGCAAGTTTGGTAGGCTACTAATGACTATCAGCAGCATCAGAGCTTGGAGAAGCCTAATTACTGTGACTAAGCGGTCACGTGGAATTTGACTGCCTTCATGACTCGTGACCACAGGTGTGGCGGTAATACGGTCACCGCAACAGCCCTAATGACCACTGCACTCAGAACTGGTGCGGGTAGCATAATGTAATAGAATTCCTTATTGTTTAGCTGGTCCGCACTCAAAAAAGACATTCAAGGTTTATTTTTAGTATTTATTTAATTCACGGGTGGGTAGATAGACAAACGTTTCGGCCTTCGTCAGTGTCATCAGCATCTCCTCTGAAGGTGCACTTCTTTATTGCTTGTTTTATTTATTCATCAAGAAGGAATCAATATAGCTTGATCAAATTAATTTACAAACAGTCCCGCCCATCACCGGCAGCTAAAATCAAATGAAATGCTGTGTGTCACTCGACATTCTCTCTCTTCCTCCACTCATGATACTGTCTTCACACATACAGTGGGGAAAAAAAGTATTTAGACAGCCACCAATTGTGCAAGTTCTCCCACTTAAAAAGATGAGAGAGGCCTGTAATTGTCATCATAGGTACACGTCAACTATGACAGACAAAATGAGGAAAAAAAATCCAAAAAATCACATTGTAGGATTTGTAATGAATTTATTTGCAAATTATGGTGGAAAATAAGTATTTGGTCAATAACAAAAGTTTCTCAATACTTTGTTATATACCCTTTGTTGGCAACGACACAGGTCAAACGTTTTCTGTAAGTCTTCACAAGGTTTTCACACACTGTTGCTGGTATTTTGGCCCATTCCTCCATGCAGATCTCCTCTAGAGCAGTGATGTTTTGGGGCTGTCGCTGGGCAACACGGACTTTCAACTCCCTCCAAAGATTTTCTATGGGGTTGAGATCTGGAGACTGGCTAGGCCACTCCAGGACCTTGAAATGCTTCTTACGAAGCCACTCCTTCATTGCCCGGGCGGTGTGTTTGGGATCATTGTCATGCTGAAAGACCCAGCCACGTTTCATCTTCAATGCCCTTGCTGATGGAAGGAGGTTTTCACTCAAAATCTCACGATACATGGCCCCATTCATTCTTTCCTTTACACGGATCAGTCGTCCTGGTCCCTTTGCAGAAAAACAGCCGCAAAGCATGATGTTTCCACCCCCATGCTTCACAGTAGGTATGGTGTTCTTTGGATGCAACTCAGCATTCTTTGTCCTCCAAACACGACGAGTTGAGTTTTTACCAAAAAGTTATATTTTGGTTTCATCTGACCATATGACATTCTCCCAACCCTCTTCTGGATCATCCAAATGCACTCTAGCAAACTTCAGACGGGCCTGGACATGTACTGGCTTAAGCAGGGGGACACGTCTGGCACTGCAGGATTTGAGTCCCTGGCGGCGTAGTGTGTTCTGATGGTAGGCTTTGTTACTTTGGTCCCAGCTCTCTGCAGGTCATTCACCAGGTCAACCCGTGTGGTTCTGGGATTTTTGCTCACCGTTCTTGTGATCATTTTGACCCCACGGGGTGAGATCTTGCGTGGAGCCCCCGTTCGAGGGAGATTATCAGTGAACTTGTATGTCTTCCATTTCCTAATAATTGCTCCCACAGTTGATTTCTTCAAACCAAGCTGCTTATCTATTGCAGATTCAGTCTTCCCAGCCTGGTGCAGGTCTACAATTTTGTTTCTGGTGTCCTTTGACAGCTCTTTGGTCTTGGCCATAGTGGAGTTTGGAGTGTGACTGTTTGAGGTTGTGGACAGGTGTCTTTTATACTGATAACAAGTTCAAACAGATGCCATTAATACAGGTAACGAGTGGAGGACAGAGGTGCCTCTTAAAGAAGAAGTTACAGGTCTGTGAGAGCCAGAAATCTTGCTTGTTTGTAGGTGACCAAATACTTATTTTCCACCATAATTTGCAAATAAATTCATAAAGAATCCTACAATGTGATTTTCTGGATTTTTTTTCCTCAATTTGTCTGTCATAGTTGACGTGTACCTATGATGAAAATTACAGGCCTCTCTCATCTTTTTAAGTGGGAGAACTTGCACAATTGGTGGCTGACTAAATACTTTTTCCCCCCACTGTATCTTTGCTCAGTGGTGCACCTAGGAAGGAACCACTTACTAGGGAGAATATGGGGGAGGGGGCACCTGCCCTTGTGCCCCCTATGGGCATGGCGCCTCTGCATTCATGATTGCATCACACATATATTATATAATAACAATATAATGATCTGTTTTGCTGTCTTAAACCTCAGCCCTATCTTACTTCCAGGTCATCCTCAGGCTCTTCCTGTTCCATGTCTAAACCCAGAGCGCTGTGGCGAATCATCTGCCAGAATTCCAGGGACTTCCTGTTTCCAGGTCCTTTCTCCTCCTCCTTCCGCTCCTTGCTCTGATCCTCATCCTTAGAGAAGGCTTGGATGTAGCGACGCATCTTTTGCACCAGTGGGTCTTTGCGATCCTCAACCCTGCAACGGAGACAGAGTATGAGAGTCATTATAATATAAAGCCTGTATATGATGGGGATGGGGAAACACTGTTAACACCACCACACCTAAAACAGAGAGTACAGTAATAGGAGTGTTGTTGTCTTACCGGAGGTACCATCGCTCCCCCAGGCCGTAGAGCAGGCCACATACCCCCAGCCGTGGCCACAGGCAGCGGGGCAACCTCCTCTCCAACATCAGGGTAGTGGCCACCACCTACACACAGTGAGCAGGGACAGAGGACATAAGGATCAGTAACATGGCACTGATTGGGATGCTGTATACACTCTAATCATGGTTTTAAGCAATTTGTATGGCGTATGTAGGAGAGACTGTGTGTGTGTGTTCCTGAGTGTGTGTGTGTTCCTGAGTGTGTGTGTGTGCATGTGTGTGTGTCAAAATGTGTGTGTCTGGCACACCTGTGTCCTCCAGAGCTCGTCCCTCTCCTGGGCTACTCTCCATTGTGTATCACTCATCATGGCTGTGAGCAGGTTGAGCAGCAGTAAGTGGGCGACCACAGAGAAGGTGCAGTGCAGCACATGGACAATAGGTGGCGTTATGATGGTGTTGTCCACTGGAAGGTCTATCAGACCCACACTCAGCTCAAACAGAGAGAACAGAGTGATGGGGAAGGAGTGGTACGCAGGCAGAGAGTCTGGGTCCTGAGTCATGTACACCATCCACAGGGCTGAGAGAGAGCGAGAGAAAGAGAGAGTGAGAGAGAATAACTGGCAAATAAAAATAGGAATTCTATTTGGTTTAATATATTTGTACTATTAATATGGTTTTTGAGTTTCTCTTAAACAGAATGTACTTACAGGTGGAAAACCCTATGAGCATGATGAAGCTCAGCCACATGAACTTGGTGAGGTCTCCAAATATAATCTAGGAGGAAATGAGACAAAACGCCACAACAGTTTAATATTGGAATCAAAACAGCAAAACCACACATTCTACAGTAACGTCCTGCAAATGCTTGTGTGTGTGTGTGTGTGTGTGTGCGAGCGTGCATATGTGTGTGTCTGCTGCCCTTACATACCTTCTGTATCATGATGACATAAGGCCCCAGCATCTGAAAGCCTCGGGCGAAGAACATGACGTTACTCCAGCCCAGTACCAGACACACAGCCATGACAACTGCCTCCCCCTGCACCCCACTGACCCTGAACACACACAGCAGCACCACCAGCATCGCATAGGCAATACTGGGGAGGAAACACACAGGTTATTACACAGGGTATAAATGCTACATAGACATGACATAATAATAACATCACTAGGCAGGTAATAAAGGATACATAGGTACCAAGGTTGACGTACAGAATGACATGGAAGGGTCCCCCCAGGGCCGTCTGTCCAAAGTAATGCTTGGCCCCCACTCTCAGCATATCTGGGATCTTAGGGATTGGGAATAACACAGATTATATTGACAGACAATAATCTGATCTAATCTACAGTGTAAATATAAGTGAAATGTAAAACTATTGGATAATGTATATTTTACCTCCAGTAGCAGAATAACCAGGGCACCCAGGACACTGATCATCTCTCCTCCCAGACGCAAGTTGTCCCCATAGGTCACATAACTCTCCTACAGGGACAGAGAACAAGACACGTGGATCACAAAGGGTTAATATGAACACCTTTGATTGTGGATTTGCACACAGGCTGTCATATGAAGGGGCCTTCATGTCTCCCCCACCTTCAGAGTTTTCTGCACTCGGATGGTTTTGTCCCTGTCAGATACAGTGTAATTCTCTGGAGCGTCCTTTAGAGGGCGACACACACAACACAGAGTGAAGATCCCAATGTACAGGACGTACAGCAGCAGCAACAACCTGTACACAACACAATAACAACGTTAAAACAACATTAGAAATAAACAAATGGCAGAATCTCAAACACATCAGAACATGATCACTGTATGTGTTGTTACCTAAAGTAGTGTTTTCCATAGAGGTTCCACTTGAGACTGACCAACTGCCTAACAGGAGTCACTTCCAGTATCCTCCTTGCCTGAGGGAGGAGATCATCATCATCATCAGTTTCCCTATAGTGTATATTACACTGTATCATGTTTGTGTACTGTACTGTACTGTACCTCTCTCCTCTGGCTGCCCACGATGAGCTCCAGCACAGAGAGGTTGTTGGCCCAGGAGTCGATCTCTGTGAGGTCATAGAGGTTAGAGGACAGCGGTCCAAGGTTCCATTGGACGACTCGCCTCCGATTGACCAGGTGCTGGAATGCCTGGGAGAGACAGTATTTATATATATTTTTACTGTTCCCATGTTCCCCACTGTCCCTCTCTTTATATCCCCCTATCCTTCCTCACCACAAGGTTGCCCTCCTTGGCAGCCAGTTTGAAGGGTGTTAAGCCACGGTAGTTGGGCACCATGTCCAGTGGCACAGCCTGGTCCAGCTCAACGTCGCGTGCCAACACTAGATCCATTGCCATGCATGCTATAGTCTTATTGGGCTGCAGGACCAGGATGTGGAGCACTGTGTTACCTAGGGGGGAGAGAGGGAGATATTCAACTGCTGAAAAAAGGAGAAGAGAGAAGAGGGGGAGGACGAGGAGAAGAAAGAGAAGTGTTTCATACCAATGGAGTCCTGGGCTCTGGTGCTGGCTCCTGCGTTGATCACCATGGAGATGATGTCCTGATTCCCCACACAGGCCGCAAATGCCAGGATGTGCTCACCTAAAGTAAAGCAAACAGCATCAAACAACCACATTTCCCAAAATGCATTTATTTTCTCCTTACAGACCACATACAGTCATTTTACCATAGTAGAGCAGCCCGCCTCTTCTCTTCCTGAAGTACAGGCCTGTGACTCTGGGCGTGGCCACATCCGCCCCTCGACCAATCAGACTGCGGACCAGGTTAATGTTCTGATTCACCACGGCAACGTGGAGAGGTGTCATGCCTGATTGAGAGCGAGTAAGAGAGAGAGAATGTATGATTGCGTGATTGAATGTCTATGTGAGTTTTATGATATTATAGTGTGTGTTTGTTCATTGTGTGTGAGAGTGTGTACCAAGGAAGAGGTCAGAGGTCATGGGCTCATTGATGAGTTCAGGTGCTCCGTCCATCAGAGCTAAAGCTGCCTCCATGTTATCATTCATAACTGCCACATGCAGCGCGGTCTCCCCCAGAGCACCTCTCTCAAAGATATTAGTGGACGCACAGTCCAGAAGTTTCTTAATGCAACCTGCACTGTTCTCTTTGGCGGCAAAGAAGAGAGGGACGTTGTTTGTTCTATGGGAGAGAGAGTGTGTTTGCAAGTTAGAAATCTAATGCTGCGTTCAGAACATCTCGTAAATATCAGCAAATCCACTTGAACGCCCCTCCAGCTGGTAATTACTAGTGGGAAACGGTCTATCATCTCTGAGCTTAGACTTCTCCCACATGCTGAGCTCTGATGTCACATCCCACTGGGCACAGAGATCAGTTCAACGTCTTATTTTGATTTACATTTGGTTGAGTTGTCAACTATTGTGAATTCAACGTGAAATCAACAAAACATTTCTCTATGTCATTGGGTTTAGGTTAAAAGTTAGGAGAAAAAAATACGAAATGCCCTGATGTTGATGACTTTTTCCAAATCCAATACGTTTTCACATAGATTTTTTTGGTTGAAATGACGTGGAAACAACGTTGATTCAACCCGTTTTTGCCCAATGTTATACTTAACAAATGACCTCGATAACAGCATTTTCTGCAGTTAAATGCAACAACAAAACATAATTTACTTGTTATGAATGCAGCATAATATCAACCAATACTTGACAGTAGCTGTTCTTTTTTACCAATAGGAAACTCACCTTTTGTTCTGCAGCAAAAAAGTTTCATCCAGCATCTCTTTCCACCCTTTCCTGTTCTGGAGGCGGAACCTAAGCTGGCTCCACCAATGGCTGAGCTCACCTGGAGCAGATCTTGCCAAGGGCGGGGCCATCCTCTCATATGGTGAGTCTATTTCAAACGGCTGGGAGGAGAGAGAGGTGCTTGTGTGTGAGAGAAATGGAGTGTCAGAAACAGAAAGATGTTCTACCATCAGACTTAACTCATAAAGAAATACATCCTTCTCCTTATGTACTAGGGACTAAAATCAAATCTAGAATGTGTGAGCTGTCAGCAAACGAACTGACAGATCGTTCAGGTCAGCACCATCCCACAGACCAGAGCTGAACCAGAAACCAGAGGTCTCCATTTCCCCATTAATACAGGCAATAGCATAGTTTTTCTCTATTCTATTCTATTCTAAACAGTTCTGTAAAATGTAAAAGGTGAACACTTGTCGTTCCTTTTGCGTCCCTTCAATATTTCAAGTAGAAATTGTGCACCATTTGAATTTTAAGAGCCTGTTATATTAAATGAAGTGCCCTTGACATATTTATTCATTTTAGCAGACGCTCTTATCCGGAGCGAATTAAAGTAGTCAGTGCGTACATTTTCGTACTGAATTCCCCCCATGGGAATCAAACCCACAACAACCCTGACGTTGCAAGCGCCATGTACTACCAACTGAGCAAAACACGAAACTGATGCACTTCGAGAAAACAACCGCTCACATATCCAAGATTGTGTCCCAAATGTCACCCCATAGCCTGTATAGTACAAGACTCCTGACAAGAGCCCTATGGCCCCTGGTCAAAGTGGTACTCTAGAAAAGGGAATAAGGTGCCATTTGGGACACAGTCCTAGAAAGGCCATTCTTTCCTTCTCTTATCACTTTAATATATACCACATGTTTTATTTGAATAAAGACTTGCTAAAGTGCCAAAATGCTGTATTTTGACATCTCCCTCCGTGCACCCTATGTGACTTCTAGGAAGATTGTTACCCACTTAACCCCAACATTTCTCAAAGTTTTCACCATGATTGCCTCCTGTGGCTCAGTTGGTAGAGCATGGTGCTTGTAATGTCAGGGTTGTGGGTTCGATTCCCACGGGGGGCCAGTATGAAAAATGTATGCACTCACTAACTATAAGTTGCTCTGGATAAGAGTGTCTGCTAAATGATTAAAATGTAAATGATTGTAAAGCCCTAGTACCTCATTTTAAGGTCTACCCTGTTGCGTGAACTGAACTCTCAATTCAATATGGTAAAACTATTCCTTAAAAAAAATTGTTTTTCAAAAGAAACATTTTACATCTAATTGTCAAATCATCCTGTAAAAGCAGGTGAGCTGGTTCTACTCTTTTTGGCAATTTTCTGGTGTTTTGCGGTGGAAAACTAAGCGGGTCAAGCTCAACACGCCAACACTATTACCCATAGGTAGACAGGCTAGAAATGTTTTAACAATTACACTTTTATTGTGAAGCTTGCATTCTATTGCGCACAACAAGCTTCCATTTTGCCTGTCACAAGGCTGATTTGAGATGAATTTGTCAACCCTGTTACTTTATTTGGCACTTAGATAGTATTTTCTATTTTATTTGAGATGGGAAAAACATTTTGATGACAGAATATAAAGATTTAGTAAAATCACTTTAAAAAAAATAAAGTTACACTTCTCAGAAGGCACCGAATTGGTGGAATGACCCACTTACCTTTTATGGAAGAAAACAGTTAGTCCTTTACTCCTAATTGACAGTCAGGCACTACGTCAACATACAACATCAAGCTGATTTGAGAAAGAGAAGGGGGATTCACAGGTGGGAATCTTTATATATGGAGAAGAGGTCAAGAGGAGGGGAGGAGGTCAAGAGGAGGATAGATGTCAGAGAGAGGAGGGAGGAGAGAGGGAGGGGCCAAATGGTGGAAAGGAGTAGTAATCATAACTTAAGCTTTATCTTTAGGAAAGATCCATCATTTTATTGGAATAATTTACTGCAGTATACCAAGGCTGTTTGACATTTTGCCAAAACGTCTCAAACGCTAAAGTCTGCTCTGGCCTTGCTACTGACCGCCACACTCAGTTTACCTGGTTGATGTCCTGAGACTGGTCCACGCTTCATAGGTCTCCTCCATGGCTCATTTTCAGCCCCTGCATCACCCCCATGTAAAAAATTTCAACATCATGACAGTCAACACTTTTTGGTCTTTGTTCTCAGTGAACCGTTCAGATAACCGGTTCGAAAGTCGTCTACCTTTCAATTGTCTCAATGCTAGTGTTGCACATATTGAGGTGAGCTTGTCTAACTGGACATATATTTGCTGTTTCACCTGTAGGATCCTATAGACACCTTACCTGTCAGGTCTATAGAAACTAGTTTAACTGGTTGTGCTCTAGTTTAATCTACAATTTAAAAAATATAGGTTCTTAAATAATAATTACATTTTTTACATTTTAGTCATTTAGCAGACGCTCTTATCCAGAGCGACTTACAGTTAGTGAATACATATTTTTTTATACTGGCCCCCCGTGGGAATCGAACCCACAACCCTGGCGTTGCAAACGCCATGCTCTATCAACTGAGCTACATCCCTGCCGGCCATTCCCTCCCCTACCCTGGACGACGCTGGGCCAATTGTGCGTCGCCCATGAGTCTCCCGGTCGCGGCCGGCTGCGACAGAGCCTGGATTCGAACCAGGATCTCTAGTGGCACAGTTAGCACTGCGATGCAGTGCCTTAGACCACTGCACCACTCAGGAGTACGTAAATAATAATATGCCATTTAGCAGACGCTTTTATCCAAAGCGACTTACAGTCATGCGTGCATACATTTTTGTGTATGGGTGGTCCCGGGGATCGAACCCACTACCTTGGCGTTACAAGCGCCGTGCTCTACCAGCTGAGCTACAGAGAACTAAATGGTTCTTCCTCAGCTCTTAAGGTTCCTTGGAGAACTCTTGCCCGATGAATAACCTTTGAGTTAAGTGTGGGGTTTTGACATGGCATCTACAGTTCTTCAGAATTCTAAAAGGTCTTTGAAATGTATGGAAATCTGCAGATGTGTCCCTTTCATAGCACACAGCAAATTGGCCAGTGATTTTTCAGTGTAACATTTCTAGTGTTGATCCAAAAGTTAATTTAACACTGTAGAGAGTTAAATTAACACTCAGTGGTGTAAATTGACCCCAGTGTTGGTGTTAATAACCAGAGTTTAACCATAACCACGCCCATCATTATCATATGTCCCAGCATGCTCTATTGAAGGTTGATTTAAAAAATAAATAATTGTTTCAATATTTTTGTGTATTTGCATTGATTAATTAATCAAATATAAATAATATACATTTTTCTAAACTATTCCAATGTATTACTTGGACTTATTTCACCAGTTACTGAAATTGTTGTTCCAGTTTAGATGTTTAAGGTAGTCTCATATGTTAGTCTTCCCAACCCTAGCACTGTCAGTCATTCTGAACGCAGGTTGCGGGTGACTAAAATATTCAAATTGTTGGATATCCCCACTCTGGCTAGATTTCAATAGGAATTACACATCACTTTACAAGCCAGCATAATGTGAGTTGCAGGCCACTGTATTAGGGTAAAACTAGGCCCTCAAAAGAAGGCCTTATGAAATATGTAATGTATTGTCTTAAATAATGACAACATATTCACTTAGAATCTCACTAGGACACAGAACTGAAAATGAATTAATGCATAACCACGTCTCTTTCACTAGCAAACACAGTCATGGGTGGTACTGAAAAGTAATGATGTTATGTTTAAAACCGGAGCTCTGAGGCATGCATCAAAATGGCTAAACAGCTACCTTCGAAGCGGTGTGCCGATGCTTGTATCACTTTATCAGAAGTACTTCGAAGCTTCGTTTGGTCACATGCTTTTTCAAACCGTGTGTTGCAAAATGTGAGATCCCACTGATTTCTCAGTGCTTCCGGTGCTTTCCTCGATTCCAAGCTGCTTTCAAACACCGACCTCTTCTGGACCCTGTACTTACAAATATAGTTACAATTTTGTACCAAAATGTTCACCTGATCGGTAGCTTAGCAAGTACAGTAGGGAACTATGGAACATTCAGGGATGTGAGGGTATGAGGTTGAATCCTGTTGAAGGCACACTATTTAGAAAATAGTTTTATTTATGTGAAATCACACTTTCTGCACTGTTGTTCAAATAATTTGTTTTGTTTAATATAGTTTAAGCTTCTGTCTTAAGCATCCTAAATAATGCCTTAAATTCCATTTTTGAAAACAGGGAAGCATGATGTAAGATGCGGACCTGGTATTCCAACTGATTATAGGCTACTAACGGCAACGACTTACCACTGCGCAAAGGAGTTTCAGGCCACTGTATTAGTTTAGGAGTTTTGCTGAAAACAGTGGAGAAAATAAAAAGTAGATCTGATAATCACCCGCTGCTTTTTATTGCTGACCAGCAGATGTCATTAATCAAATCAAATCAAATATAATTTTAGCAGATGTTATTGCGGGTGTAGTGAAAATCTTGTGCTTCTAGCTCCGACAGTGCAGTAATATCTAACAAGTAATATCTAACGATTTCACAACATATACCCAATACACACAAATCTAAGTAAGGAATGGAATTTAAGAATACAGTGGGGGAAAAAAGTATTTAGTCAGCCACCAATTGTGCAAGTTCTCCCACTTAAAACGATGAGAGAGGCCTGTAATTTTCATCATAGGTACACGTCAACTATCCAGAAATCCAGAAAATCACATTGTAGGATTTTTTATGAATTTATTTGCAAATTATGGTGGAAAATAAGTATTTGGTCACCTACAAACAAGCAAGATTTCTGGCTCTCACAGACCTGTAACTTCTTCTTTAAGAGGCTCCTCTGTCCTCCACTCGTTACCTGTATTAATGGCACCTGTTTGAACTTGTTATCAGTATAAAAGACACCTGTCCACAACCTCAAACTTGAAGCTTCCACCTTCTCCACTGTGGTTCCGTCGATGTGGATAGGGGGGTGCACCCTCTGCTGTTTCCTGAAGTCCACGATCATCTCCTTTGTTTTGTTGATGTTGAGTGAGAGGTTATTTTCCTGACATCACACTCCCAGAGTCCTCACCTCCTCCCTGTCTCGTCATTGTTGGTAATCAAGCCTACTACTGTTGTGTCATCTGAAAACTTGATGATTGAGTTGGAGGCGTGCTTGGCCACACAGTCATGGGTGAACAGGGAGTACAGGAGGGGGCTGAGCATGCACCCTTGTGGGGCCCCAGAGTTGAGGATCAGCAAAGTGGAGGTGTTGTTTCCTACCTTCACCACCTGGGGGCGGCCCGTCAGGAAGTCCAGGACCCAGTTGCACAGGGCGGGGTTCAGATCCAGGGCCTCAAGCTTGGGGGTCTAGGGTGGCAGGTAAGGTAGAGGTGATATGATCCTTGACTAGTCTCTCAAAGCACTTCATGATGACAGATAGTCATTTAGTTCAGTTACCTTTGCTTTCTTGGGTACAGGGACAATGGTGGCCATCTTGGAGCATGTGGGGACAGAAGACTGGGATAGGGAGAGATTGAATATGTCCATAAACACACCAGTCAGCTGGTCTGCGCATGCTCTGAGGACGCGGCTAGGGACGCCATCTGGGCCGGCAGCCTTGCGAGGGTTAACACGCTTAAATGTCTTACTCACGTCGGTCACGGAGAAGGAGAGCCCACAATCCTTGGTAGTGGGCCGCGTCGGTGGCACTGTATTATCCTCAAAGCGGGCGAAGAAGGTGTTTAGCTTGTCCGGAAGCAAGACGTCGAGGTCTGCGACGTGGCTGGTTTTCTTTTTGTATTCCGTGATTGTCTGTAGACTCTGCCACATACGTCTCGTGTCTTAGACGTTGAATTGCGACTCCACTTTGTCCCTATACTGACATTTTGCCATGCGGAGGGAAGAACTACACTGTTTGTATTCTGCCATATTCCCAGTCACCTTGAATCGTGCTCATCGTTTTCGTGACATTGTCAGCTAACCCGTTTATGACAGTATGTTCTTCCTTTTAACAAAAATACTTGACAGTACATTTGGTTTCTTACGAACCAATCCTCTTATGCAGTAAAGCACATATTCTAAACTGAATGTCATACAGTATTTTAATTTCCACATATTTGATGACCATTTATCAATACATTACATAACAACCCAGACACCCTAAACACTTTCCAATTGCCATGGTTTGGTTTGTGTATTCAGGTGTATACAGTTGAAGTTGGAAGTTTACATACCCCTTAGCCATATACATTTAAACTCAGTTTTTCACAATTCCTGACATTTAATCCTAGTAAAACTTCCCTGTGAAATGTCAGAAAATAGTAGAGAGAATGATTTATTTCAGCTTTTATTTCTTTCATCACATTTCCAGTGGGTCAGAAGTTTACATACACTCAATTAGTATTTGGTAGCATTGCCTTTAAATTGTTTAACTTGGGTCAAACGTTTCGGGTAGCCTTCCACAAGCTTCCCACAATAAGTTGGGTGAATGTTGGCCCATTCCTCCTGACAGAGCTGGTGTAACTGAGTCAGGTTTGTAGGCCTCCTTGCTCACACACGCTTTTTCCGTTGTGCCCACAAATTTTCTATAGGATTGAAGTCAGGGTTTTGTGATGGCCACTCCAATACCTTGACTTTGTTGTCCTTAAGCCATTTTGCCACAACTTTGGAAGTATGCTTGGGGTCATTGTCCATTTGGAAGATCCATTTGCGACCAAGCTTTAACTTCCTGACTGATGTCTTGAGATGTTGCTTCAATATATCCACATAATTTTCCTTCCTCATGATGCCATCTATTTTGTGAAGTGCACCAGTCCCTCCTGCAGCAAAGCACCCCCACAGCATGATGCGGCCACCCCCGTGCTTCATGTTTGGGATGGTGTTCTCTGGCTTACAAGTTCCCCCCTTTTCCTTCAAACATAACGATGGTCATTAGGGCCAAAAGTTATATTTTTGTTTAATCAGACCAGAGGACATTTCTCCAAAAAGTACGATCTTTGTCCTCATGTGCAGTTGCAAACCGTAGTCTGGCATTTTTATGGCGGTTTTGGAGCAGTGGCTTCTTCCTTGCTGAGCGGCCTTTCACGTTATGTCGATATAGGACTCGTTTTACTGTGGATATAGATAATTTTGTACCTGTTTCCTCCAGCATCTTCATAAGGTCCTTTGCTGTTGTTCTGGGAGACAGAACGCGTCTCCTTCCTGAGCGGTATGACGGCTGCGTGGTCCCATGGTGTTTATACTTGTGTACTATTGTTTGTACAGATGAACGTGGTACCTTCAGGCGTTTGGAAATTGCTCCCAAGGATGAACCAGACTTGTGGAGGTCTACACATTTCTTTCTGAGGTCTTGGCTGATTTCTTTTGATTTTCCCATGATGTCAAGCAAAGAGGCACTGAGTTTGAAGGTAGGCCTTGCAGTACATCCACAGGTACACCTCCAATTGACTCAAATGATGTCAATTAGTCTATCAGAAGCTTCTAAAGCCATGACATCATTTTCTGGAATTTTCCAAGCTGTTTAAAGGCACAGTCAATTTAGTGTATGTAAACTTCAGATTATAAGTGAAATAATCTGTCTGTAAACAATTGTTGGAAAAAGTACTTGTATCATGCACAAAGTAGATGTCTTAACCGACTTTCCAAAACTATAGTTTGTTTACAAGAAACTTGTGGAGTGGTTGAAAAAAAAGTTTTAATGACTCCAACCTAAACGTATGTAAACTTCCGACTTCAATTGTAGGTCAATCATTTGTGATAATCTTTATTTAGGCACAATAACATTTACATTACATTTACGTCATTTAGCAGACGCTCTTATCCAGAGCGACTTACAATAACAAGGTTGCTTTGCAGTGTGCGTGTGTGTGTGTATTGTCACATCACAAACTATCCCATCTCATCCTCTATTTTTAAAAGTTGTGAATGTAAGAAATGTATTTATGTCTTTTGTTGAGGTTCTAAGATTTTAAATGTGGATGTGCCATACAATTAATTTGTCAGTCTTATTTCCCATAAATGTCCCACCACAAATAACTAATTTCTGACACTCGGTAAGGGCGAGTTTGAATGACAAAATGACTCTTATAAAAACAATAGAACACTATGAAACATCTGGGAACCCAGGCCTGCTATTCATAGCAGACTTTGAAAAGGCATTTGATAAAGTACGACTGGAGTTTATATATAAATGCCTGGAGCGTTTCAATTTTGGAGAATCTCTTATAAAATTGGTTAAAATCATGTATAGTAACCCTAGGTGTAAAATAGTAAATAATGGCAATTTTCTGAAAGTTTTAAACTGTCAAGAGGAGTGTCACGATCGTTATTAGATGAGACGGACCAAGGCGCAGCGTGATAAGCGTACATCTTTAATTAGTACTTAACACACGAACAAAACCAAAACAACAAACCAACGATACGTGAAGTCCTGAGGTTACACACACCAAACCTTTACGGATCAAGATCCCACAAACTAACTGGTGCCAACAGGCTGCCTAAGTATGGTCCCCAATCAGAGACAACGAGCTACAGCTGTCTCTGATTGGGAACCACCCTGGCCAACATAGATCAACACGATCTAGAACAAAAACATAGAAAACTAAACAATGAAAATCCACACCCTGGCTCAACATTTAAGAGTCCCCAGAGCCAGGGCGTGACAGTACCCCCCCCCCCCCCCCCCAAAGGCGCGGACTGCGACCGCGCCACACAAACACAAGAGGGTAGGGGCCGGGTGGGCATTCCGCCTCGGAGACGGATCCGGCTCCGGGCGTGACCACCACCTTTTCTCCACCTCCCCGTTGCGCCCCTGGTCTGGTCCCGCTGACTGGAGCTGGACCCGACGACGGTGGACCAAACCTTACCGCCTCCGGACTGGAGCCGCTGGCCGGAGCTGGACTGGACACCGGTGGAGCGGATTGCTCTGGCTCCGGAGTGGATCCGCTGACTGGAGTTGGACCGGACCCCGGTGGAGCGGATTGCTCTGACTCCGGAGTGGAGCAGCTGACCGGTGCCGGACCAGGCACCGGTGGAACAGGCACGGGCCGTGCCGGACTGGACACACGCACCACTGGCTTGGCGCGGGGAGCAGGAACGGGCCGGACCGGGCTGACGACGCGCACCACAGGCTTGGTGGGGGAGCAGGAACGGGCCGGACCGGGCTGACGACGCGCACCACAGGCTTGGTGCGGGGAGCAGGAACAGGCCGGACCTGGCTGGCGACGCGCACCACTGGCTTGGTGCGAGGGACAGGAACAGGCCGGACCGGGCTGGCGACGCGTACCACTGGCTTGGTGCGAGGGACAGGAACAGGCGGGGCTGGACTGGGAACACGCACCACTGGCTTGGTGCGGGGAGCCGGAACGGGCCGGGCCGGACTGTGGAGGCGGACTGGAGGTCTGGAGCGGAGAGCTGACACAACCCGTCCTGGCTGAATGCCTATTTCCACACAATATGTGTGAGGCATCAGCACAGGACGTACAGGGCTGTGCCTCGTACTGGCGCTACAGCACGTGGCACTGGCGCAGGATATACGGGACCGAGGAGGCGTACTGGAGGCCACGAGCGTTGAGCCGGCACACCCCATCCTGGCTGCATGCCCATCTTAGCACGACACGTGCGTGGTGCTAGCACCGGACGTAAAGGACTGTGCCGGAACAATCGCGGCACAGTACGTGGCTCCGCATAACACGGAGCCTGCCCAGTCTCACGCTTCCTAGCCTGAGTACGGGGAGCTGGCTCCGCTCTAACTCTAGGCTCCGCCAACCACCCTTTTAGCCCCCCCCCAAACATTTTCTTATGGCTGTCTCTCGGGCTTCCTCCTCGGCCGGTACCCTCTGCGATGCCGCTGCTCCTCTCTGTAGCGCGCCTCCACAGTCTCCTCCCAAGGACGGCGATCCATTCCGGCCTGAATCTCTTCCCAAGTCCAGGATCCCTTCCCGTCCAGGATCTCCTCCCAAGTCCAGGCTGTCTGTTCCTGGACACACTGCTTGGTCCTCTTTAGGTGGGATCTTCTGTCACAATCGTTATTAGATGAGACGGACCAAGGCGCAGCGTGATAAGCGTACATCTTTAATTAGTACTTAACACACGAACAAAACCAAAACAACAAACCAACGATACGTGAGGTCCTGAGGTTACACACACCAAACCTTTACGGATCAAGATCCCACAAACTAACTGGTGCCAACAGGCTGCCTAAGTATGGTCCCCAATCAGAGACAACGAGCTACAGCTGTCTCTGATTGGGAACCACCCTGGCCAACATAGATCAACACGATCTAGAACAAAAACATAGAAAACTAAACAATGAAAATCCACACCCTGGCTCAACATTTAAGAGTCCCCAGAGCCAGGGCGTGACAAGGAGTAAAACAAGGTTTTCCACTATCGGCATATCTATTTATTATGGCCATCGAAATGTTAGCTATTAAAATCAGATCCAGCAATAATATCAAGCGATTAGAAATCCAGGGCTTAAAAACAAAGGTGTCATTGTATGCTGATGATTCATGTTTTCTTTTAAATCCACAATTTGAATCCCTCCACAGCCTCATAGAGGATCTAGATACATTTTCTAACCTCTCTGGATTACAACCAAATTATGATAAATATACTATATTACGTATTGGATCACTAAAAAATACAATTTTTACATTACCATGTAGTTTACCAATAAAATGGTCTGATGGTGATGTGGATATACTCAGAATACATATCCCAAATGAAATAAATGATCTCACTCCAATACATTTTTATAGAAAGTTAGCAAAAAATAGATAAGATCTTGCTACGATGGAAAGGTAAATACCTGTCTATTTGTGGAAAATCACCCTGATTAACTCTTTAGTATTGTCCCAGTTTACCTATTTGCTTATGGCCTACGTCTAGTGAACAGTTGTTTAAATTATATGAGAAAAAAATATTCAATTTTATTTGGAACGGCAAGCCAGACAAAATTAAACGGGCCTATTTATATAATGAATATGAATTCAGAGGACAGAAATTATTAAATATTAAAGCATTAGACCTATCACTAAAATCTTCAGTCATACAAAAGTTATACTTAAATCCGAACTGGTTCTCTAGCAAATTAGTAAGATTGTCTCACCCCATGTTCAAGAATGGCCTTTTTCCCTTTATTCAGATTACAACCTCTCACTTTCAGTTATTTGAAAAGGAAATAATCTCCCAAATATCACTATTTCTAAAACAAGCCATAGAAAGTTTGTTGCAATTTCAATTTAATCCCCCAGAAACGACAGAACAAATAATGCAACAAATATTGTGGTTAAACTCAAATCTACTAATTGATAAAAATTACATTATTTTTTGAATTTTAAAAAAAGAAGGTATAATCTTCATAAATGATATCATAGGTAGGACTGGTGGAGTTATGTCGCACATGCAGCTAACACAAACATATGGAAATGTCTGCTCTACCCAAAATTACAACCAAATAATTGCAGCATTACTGCAAAAATGGAAGAGGAAACTGGAAGGGGGAAAAAGTAAGGAACTTGTCTGTCAGCCCTGAATTAAAAAACATAATTGGTTAAAGAAAATTGTGATAAATAAAAAAGTATTCCAGTTTCATTTAAGGACCAAAGGATTGACAGCCGTCATATATAATTTGCAAAATAGTTGGGAAGAGATTTTTGACGTACCAATTCCATGGCATAGTGTTTATGAACTGATATGCAAAACAAGGCCGGATTCAAAACTTAGAATTTTTCTATTTAAATTATTATACAAAATTCTTGCTACCAATATAATGTTATTTATATGGGGGATACAATCTTCCCAGCTCTGCAGATTTTTCTGTGAAGATACAGAATCATTAGATCATTTGTTTTGGCACTGTCCATTTGTAGCTTGTTTTTGGTCACAGGTCCAGGAATGGCTAAAGGATTGCAATATTTACCTGGAGCTAACCCTGCAGATAGCGCTACTGGGTGATCTGAAAAGTTATAGTCAATCAATCAATAATATAATAATACTTTTAGCAAAAATGTTTATTTTTAATTTACAATCTGTAGAAACAATGAGAATAGAAGGGTTCAGAACTTTTGTGAAACATCACAGTACAGTTGAAAAATATATTTCAAATAGAAATCCAATGTGGATGGTGTTAAGCGATAGATGGGAGGTGTTGAATGGAGCTGAAGGATGGGACTAATAACAACTAACAACAACTAATAATAACAAGATAACTAATGTAACAGTTAGAAAGATATGGCACATAGAAGCAAACCGGATGGACATCATGAAAATGATCGGAGAGGTTGAGGGTAGAGGAAGTTCAGGAGTAAAAACAAACAAAATATAATTATTGTAAAATTGACTGTGTCCATAAAATGTATATAGTATGTATAAGCTGGAAGTAGAGGCCTAAGCATGGTTGTTCACTCGTTTACTCCAATTAGGGAAGGGGTGGTGGGGTTTTAAAGTAATAAAGGGAAATATATATTTTTAAAGGATATGTATATATATATGTACAGTGAGGGAAAAAAATATTTGATCCCCTGCTGATTTTGTACATTTGCCCACTGACAAAGAAATGATCAGTCTATAATTTTAACGGTAGGTTTAATTTAACAGTGAGAGACAGAATAACAACAAAATAATCCAGAAAAACGCATGTCAAAAATGTTATAAATTGATTTGCATTTTAATGAGGGAAATAAGTATTTTACCCCCTCTCAATCAGAATGATTTCTGGCTCCCAGGTGTCTTTTATACAGGTAACGAGCTGAGATTAGGAGCACACTCTTAAAGGGAGTGCTCCTAATCTTAGCTTGTTACCTGTATAAAAGACACAAGTCCACAGCAGCAATCAATCAATCAGATTCCAAACTCTCCACCATGGTCAAGACCAAAGAGCTCTCCAAGGATGTCAGGGACAAGATTGTAGACCTACACAAGGCTGGATTGGGCTACAAGACCATCGCCAAGCAACTTGGTGAGAAGGTGACAACAGTTGGTGCGATTATTCGCAAATGGAAGAAACACAAAATAATCTCCCTCGGCCTGGGGCTCCATGCAAGATCTCACCTCGTGGAGTTGCAATGATCATGAGAACGCTGAGGAATCAGCCTAGAACTACACGGGAGGATCTTGTCAATGATCTCAAGGCATCTGGGACCATAGACATCAAGAAAACAATTGGTAACACACTCGCCGTAAGGACTGAAATCCTGCAGCGCCCGCAAGGTCCCCCTGCTCAAGAAAGCACATATACAGGCCCGTCTGAAGTTTGCCAATGAACATCTGAATGATTCAGAGGAGATCTGGGTGAAAGTGTTGTGGTCAGATGAGACCAAAATCGAGCTCTTTGGCATCAACTCAACTCGCCGTGTTTGGAGGAGGAGGAATGCTGCCTATGACCCCAAGAACACCCCCTCCACCATCAAACATGGAGGTGGAAACATTATGCTTTGTGGGTGTTTTTCTGCTAAGGGGACAGGACAACTTCACCGCATCAAAGGGACGATTGACGGCGCCATGTACCGTCAAATCTTGGGTGAGAACCCTCAGCCAGGGCATTGAAAATGGGTCGTGGATGGATATTCTAGCATGACAATGACCCAAAACACACGGTCAAGGCAACAAAGGAGTGGCTCAAGAAGAAGCACATTAAGGTCCTGGAGTTGCCTAGCCAGTCTCCAGACCTTAATCCCATAGAAAATCTGTGGAGGGAGCTGAAGGTTCGAGTTGCCAAACGTCAGCCTCGAAACCTTAATGACTTGGAGAAGATCTGCAAAGAGGAGTGGGACAAAATCCCTCCTGAGATGTGTGCAAAGCTGGTGGCCAACTACAAGAAACATCTGACCTCTGTGAATGCCAACAAGGGTTTTGCCACCAAGTACTAAGTCATGTTTTGCAGAGGAGTCAAATACTTATTTCCCTCATTGAAATGCAAATCAATTTATAACATTTTTGACATGCGTTTTTCTGGATTTTTTTGTTGTTATTCTGTCTCTCACTGTTCAAATAAACCTACCATTAAAATATAGACTGATCATTTCTTTGTCAGTGGGCAAACGTACAAAATCAGCAGGGGATCAAATACTTTTTCCCCTCACTGTATGTATATGTACACTAAATCAAATCAAATCAAATCAAATTTAATTTGGCCACATGCGCCGAATACATCAGGTGCAGACATTACAGTGAAATGCTTACTTACAGCCCTTAACCAACAGTGCATTTATTTTTAACTACCGTTTAAAAGTTTGGGGTCTCTTAGAAATGTCTTTGTTTTTTAAAAGAAAAACACATTTTTTGTCCATTCAAATAACATCAAATTGATCAGAAATACAGTGTAGACATTGTTAATGTTGTAAATGGCTATTGTAGCTGGAAACGGCTGATTTTTAATGGAATATCTACATAGGCGTATAGAGGCCCATTATCAGCAACCATCAGTCCTGTGTTCCAATGGCACGTTGTGTTTGCTAATCCAAGTTTATCATTTTAAAAGGCTAATTGATCATTAGAAAACCCTTTTGCAATTATGTTAGCACAGCTGAAAACTGTTGTGCTGATTAAAGAAGCAATAAAACTGGCTTTCTTGAGACTAGTTGAGTATCTGGAGCATCAGCAATGGTGTGTTCGATTACAGGATCAAAATGGCCAGAAACAAATAACTTTCTTCTGAAACTCATCTGTCTATTCTTGTTCAGAGAAATGAAGGCTATTCTATGCGAGAAATTGCCAAGAAACTGAAGATCTCGTACAACGCTGTGTTCCACTTACCTCAGAATACATCAGTATATATATATTTTATCTTACTGTATTACTGTAGGTTTACTCTTTATTAAAAAAAGTTTGCCTTAGGCTATATACTCTTTTTTATGCTGAAGCTTCTCCTGACCAGCCCTGTGCCAGAGACAGACCAGTTACAGGTGGCTACAGCTCTGTTATTATATTATGAATCAAATTCAAACAATTAAGTGTATTTTATAAAGCCCTTTTTACATAAGCAGTTGTCACAAAGTGCTTTACAGATACCCCGCCTAAACCATAAATATTATTATAATAAGATTATTGCATTATTATTACATATGTCTCAACTAATTCCAAATTAATGGAGCTCTGATAATGTCCTATCAAAGCAATAAACATTATTTCTACTTTTAATACGCAAGAGAGGAATAATAGAGGAAAAAGAGGAATAGAGAGAGACTGAGGGTGTTTCTCAAAATGCATACTACTGTTCTCCAAGCACGCAAATTGGAGCACGGGAGTATGAGTCCAAATCAAAGTATGCGAAACGGAGCACGGAGGGCACTTCTCGAATGCGTACTCCGTTTGTACATATTTTGAAGCATGCATTGATGCAAGCTTCAACTGAAAATATGCAAAGAAATATGATGCAACCACATAAAAAATTATGCAACATTTCTTGAAATGGCGGACACTATTTGAGCTGAAGCGAGAGAAAATACACTCCGACTTCGGAATGAAATGTTGCCTATTCACATCTCATATGTTGCCTGGCTACAATATTTTATCTGGATACGTTAATAAATACATGCTGTGTTAAGTTTGGCATGTTTACCTGCCTAAGTACCGTAGATAGCAAGCCCATAATAAGTCAATAGGGCTAACTGGCTAGCTACTATTACCGTTAGCTAGCTAGATAGCCACAAAGAGTTGTTAGCTAGCTACCCACGAAGAATTGAGTATCTTGCATAATATTAGTTTTAGGTAATTTTTGCCTGTTAATCTATCTGGTTAGCTACATTATTACAATTCACATATCTATCTTATAAATATGAAGTAAAATGTTTGCTTTGTGTATATCTTGTTTTGTCTATTGTTGCCATTATCCTGGCTGGAAGAAGGTTCAGTGAATGGGGAGATGAAGCGTGAGGTTATAAAGTAGGGGGAATGCGAGTGCTTCTCAAATGTATTGTTTTAAGTATTCTCTACACTCTCGTCCTCACAAGAACGTACTCAAGCGAACGTGGTCGGAAAATGCACTCGGAGCATGAGAGTGTAGAGCACGGTAGTATGCATATTGACAAACACCCTGAGCGTGTGTGTGAGAGAGGACAGTGAATGTACAGTTTTCCCAGTTCCGAATTTTAATTACAGACACATTTCCTTGGTCGAGCCTACTATTAATGTGGTTTGCATCTGCATATCTAAACTGTTGAGTAGGTCATTAATTGGCAACTCTTTTAACCCACTAATACAGTACCTTACAATTAAAACCATGATTGCACATCTCTATCAATAACCTTTTAAACCACGATTACACATCTCTATCAATAGCCTTTTAAACCATTATTATACACTGTATGACCCAAGTCTATGTTATAATTAATTAGACATCCAGGTATAACCAATGATGGTAAATAAAATCACATTACAGTTAGTTATGCCTTGTGAAGAACAATCAAGTCCGCCTGCTAGTTTCAGTTAGAATTTGCACTAATGTAAAAGATGAATAATGCACTTATTTGCTTGTTTTGGTGAGATGTTTCTATATGTTTACTTAATGAATTTGAATGTAATAATGATCTACATTATTATGTGCATTAACCAATCATTAGGTTTTATGTTCTGATTTACAATCCTGAAGGAAAAAAAAGTTCAATATAATTTGTCCCAGTAAAAAACAAACAGTTTAATGTAAAATCTTTAATAAAAACTATTCATGAGGTTTACTTGGAATGATAAAGCAACATACATGGTCCAAGAAGATTCCAAATGAATCTAGTCTACATTTCAACCCAGCCTTACCCATATACACTAGCTACTACAATACAATCATTTGTTTTCCACACATAATACTGCATACATAATTGTATCACACATACAGTTGAAGTCGGAAGTTTACATACACCTTAGCCAAATACATTTAAACTCAGTTTTTCACAATTCCTGACATCTAATCCTAGTAAAAATTCCCTGTCTTAGGTCAGTTAGGATCACCACTTTATTTTAAGAATGTGAAATGTCAGAATAATAGTAGAGAGAATTATTTATTTCAGCTTTTATTTATTTCATCACATTCCAAGTGGGTCAGAAGTTTACATACACTCAATTAGTATTTGGTAGCATTGCCTTTAAATTGTTTAACTTGGGTCAAACGTTTCGGGTAACCTTCCACAAGCTTCCCATAATAAGTTGGGTGAATTTTGGCTAATTCCTCCTGACAGAGCTGGTGTAACTGAGTCAGGTTTGTAGGCCTCCTTGCTCACACACGCTTTTTCAGTTCTGCCCAAACATTTTCTATAGGATTGAGGTCAGGGCTTTGTAATGGACACTCCAATACCTTGACTTTGTTGTCCTTAAGCATTTTTGCCACAACTTTGGAAGTATGCTTGGGGTCATAGGCCACTTGGAAGACCCATTTGCGACCAAGCTTTAACTTCCTGACTGATGTCTTGAGATGTTGCTTCAATATATCCACATAATTTTCCTTCCTCATGATGCCATCTATTTTGTGAAGTGTGCAGTTGCAAACCGTAGTCTGGCTTTTTTATGGCGGTTTTGGAGCAGTGGCTTCTTCCTTGCTGAACGGCTTTTCAGGTTATGTCGATATAGGACTCGTTTTACTGTGGATATAGATACTTTTGTACCTGTTTCCTCCAGCATCTTCACAAGGTCCTTTGCTGTTGTTCTGGGATTGATTTGCACTTTTCACACCAAAGTATGTTCATCTCTAGGAGACAGAACGCGTCTCCTTCCTGAGCAGTATGACGGCTGCGTGGTCCCATGGTGTTTATACTTGCGTACTATTGTTTGTACAGATGAACGTGGTACCTTCAGGCGTTTGGAAATTGCTCCCAAGGATGAACCAGACTTGTGGAGGTCTACATATTTTTTTCTGAGGTCTTGGCTGATTTCTTTTGATTTTCCCTTGATGTCAAGCAAAGAGGCACTGAGTTTGAAGGTAGGCCTTGCAATACATCCACGGGTACACCTCCAATTGACTCAAATTATGTCAATTAGCCTGTCAGAAGCTTCTAAAGCCATGACATCATTTTCTGGAATTTTCCAAGCTGTTTAAAGGCACAGTCAACTTAGTGTATGTAAACATCTGACCCACTGGAATTGTGATACAGTGAATTATAAGTGAAATAATCTGTCTGTAAACAATTCTTGGAAAAATTACTTGTGTCATGCACAAAGTAGATGTCCTAACCGACTTGCCAAAACTATAGTTTGTTAAAAATAAATGTGGTTGAAAAACGAGTTTTAATGACTCCAACCTAAGTGTATGGAAACTTCCGACTTCAACTGTATATTATATAATTACAATATAATCATCTGTTTTGCTGTCTTAACCCTCAGACGTATCTTACTTCCTGGTCATCGTCAAGCTCTTCCTGTTCCACATCTAAACCCAGAGTGCTGTGGCGAATCATCTGCCAGCATGCCAGGGATTTCCTGTTTCCATCTATTCCGCCACTGTGTTTGGGTCTATTCAGAGGGGTTACAGGTCCTTTTGACATGTCAGTGTTCTCCATCTCCTCATGCTCCTTGCTCTGGTCCTCATCCTTAGAGAAGGCTTGGATGTAGCGACGCATCTTTTGCACCAGTGGGTCGTTGCGATCCTCAACCCTGCAATCGAGACATTAAGAGAGTCATTATAATATAAAGCCTGTATATGATGGGGAAACATTGTTAACACCACCACACCTAAGAGAGTACAACAATAGGACAGTTAAACCAAGTGTTGTCCAGTGCTTTCTTACCGGAGGTACCACCGCTCCCCCAGGCCGTAGAGTAGGCCACATACCCCCAGCCGGGGCCACAGGCAGCGGGGCAACCTCCTCTCCAACATCAGGGTAGTGGCCACCACCTACACACAGTGAGCAGGGACAGAGGACATAAGGATCATTAACATGGCACTGATTGGGACGCTGTATACACTCTCATCATGTTCATCATGGTTTTAAGCTATTTGTATGGAGTATGCATAGTGCCTTCAGAAAGTATTCATACCCCTTGACTTATTCCACATTTTGTTACAGCCTGAAATCAAAATGGATTACATTTATTTTATTTCTCATCCATCTACACACAATACCCCATAATGACAAAGTGAAAACATGTTTTTAGACATGTTTGCATATTTATTGAAAATGAAATACATAAATATCTAATTTACATAAGATTTCACACCCCTGAGTCAATACTTTGTATAAGCACTTTTGGCAGCGATTATAGCTGTGAGTCTTTCTGCGTAAGTCTCTAAGAGCTTTCCACACCTGGATTGATCAACATTTGCCCATTATTCTTTTAAAACATTCTTCAAGCTCTGTCAAATTGGTTGTTGATTATTGATAGACAACCATTTTCAGGTCTTGCCGTAGATTTTCAAGTAGATTTAAGTCAAAACTGTAACTCGGCTACTCAGGAACCTGTCTTCTTGGTAAGCAACTCCAGTGTAGATTTGCCCATGTGTTTTAGGTTATTCTCCTGCTGAAAGGTGAATTCATCTCCCAGTGTCTGGTGGAAAGCAGACTGAATCAGGTTTTCCTCTAGGATTTTGCCTGTGCTTAGCTCCACTCCGTTTATTTTTATCCTGAAAACCTCCTCAGTCCTTAATGATTACAAGCATACCCATAACATGATATAGCCACCACCATGCTTGAAAATATGGAGAGTGGTACTCAGTAAGTAATGTGTTGTATTGGATTTGCCCCAAACATAACACTTTTGTATTCAGGATAAATAGTTAATTGCTTTGCAAATTTTTTTGCAGTATTACTTAGTGCCTCGTTGCAAACAGGATGCATGTTTTGGAATATTTGTATTCTGTACAGGCTTCCTTCTTTTCACTCTGTCAATTAGGTTTGTATTGTGGAGTAACTACAATGTTGTTGATCCATCCTCAGTTTTCACCTATCATAGCCATTAAACTCTGTAACTGTTTTCAAGTCACCATTGGCCTCATGGTGAAATCCCTGAGCGGTTTCCTTCCTCTCCGGCAACTGAGTTAGGAAGGACATCTGTATCTTTGTAGTGACTGGGTGTATTGATACACCATCCAAAGCGTAATTAATAACTTCACCATGCTCAAAGGGATATTCAATGTCTGCTTTTTTATTTTTACCCATCTACCAATAGGTGCCCTTCTTTGCGAGGCATTGGAAAACCTCCCTGGTCTTTATGGTTGAATCTGTGTTTGAAATTCACTGCTCGACTGTGGGACCTTACAGATAATTTGATGTGTGGGGTACAGAGATGAGGTAGTCATTCAAAAATCATGTTAAACACTATTATTGCACAGTGAGTCCATGCAACGTATTATGTGACTTCTTAGGCACATTATTTACTCCTGAACTTATTTAGGCTTGCCATAACAAAGGTATTGAATACTTATTGACTCAAGACATTTCCGCTTTTCATTTTTAATGAATTTGTTAAAATAAATGGTGTGTAGGCCAGTGACAACAAATCTCAATTTATCAATTTTAAATTCAGGATGTAAAACAACAAAATATGGAAAAAGTCAAGGGGTGTGAATACTTTCTGAAGGCACTATAGGAGAGACTGTGTGTTTTTGTGTGTGTGCATGTGGGTGTGTGTGCATGTGTGTCACACTGATGCACACCTGTGTCCTCCAGAGCTCGTCCCTCTCCTGGGCTACTCTCCAGTGTGTATCACTCATCATGGCTATGAGCAGGTTGAGCAGCAGTATGTAGGACACCACAGAGAAGGTGCAGTGCAGCACATGGACAATAGGGGGCGTTGTGATGGTGTGGTCCACTGGCAGGTCTATCAGACCCACACTCAGCTCAAACTGGGAGAACAGAGTGATGGGGAAGGAGCGGTACGCAGGCAGAGAGTCTGGGTCCTGAGTCATGTACACCATCCACAGGGCTGGATGGGAGGGAGGGAGGGTGAGGGAGAGAGAGAAAGAAAGAGAAAGAGAGATAACAATAACCAGTGAATAAAAAGAGGAATTCGTTTTTTTTATACAATTGTCAGCAATTGGCTTATTTGAAATGCCAAGTTTTGCTGATGCAGTTTCTCTTAAACAGAATGTACTTACAGGTGGAAAACCCTATGAGCATGATGAAGCTCAGCCACATGAACTTGGTGAGGTCTCCAAATATAATCTAGGAGGAAATTAGACAAAACACCACAACAGTTTAATATTGGGAATCAAAACAGCAAAACCACACATTCTACAGTCTTTTTTTCGTATTTAGTATTTATTAGGATCCCCATTAGCCGCTGCAAAAGCATCAGCTACTTTTCCTGGGGTCCACATGAAACATGACATAATACATAGTACAGAACATTATTTGTCAAGGATTGAAATGCATCAATTTAAAACGTCACACATAGCCTACATATCAGTACATACAAACAATATCTAGGTCTAATACATAGTACAGTACAAATTACAATACAATATATATAAAATGGCTGTGTCTCTTCACAGTCCCCTTTGTGCAGTAATGTGTTCTTTTATCTGTTTTTTTAAACTGGTTTTATTTTTAGCTTGAGTTACCTGTGGTGGCAGAGAGTTCCATGTAGTCATGGCTCTATTTAATATTGTGCGTTTCCCAGCCTCTGTTCTGGACCTGGGGACTGTGAAGGGACCTCTGGTTGCATGTCTTGTGTTGTACGAATGAGTATCCGAACTGTGTGCAAACTGCTTGAACAGACAGTTTGGCACCTTCAACACATCAATAACTCGCACAAAGACCAATAGTGATGCAGTCAATCTCTCCTCAACTTTGAGCCAGGAGAGACTGAAATGCATGTTACTGAGACTTTCCCTCCATGTACATCTAAGTGCGATACATGCTGCTTTGTTCTGGACCAACTGCAATTTACCTATGTCCTTCTTTGCCGCACATGACCACACAGCTGGGCAGTAGTCCAGGTGCGACAAAACTAGGGCCTATAGGACCTGTCTGGTCGACTGAGATGTCAAGAAGGCAGAGCAACGCCCTATCATGGACAGACCTCTTCCCATTTTAGCAACCATTGAGTCGATCTGTTTTGACCATAAATGCTTGCTATCTAGGGTTACAACCAGCAGTTTAGTCTCCTCAACTTGCTCAATAGCCACACTATTCAATAATAGATCTAAACAAGGTTTAGCATTGAGCGAGTGATTTGTCCCAAAAATTATGCTTTAGTTTTTGAGATATTTAGCACCAGCCTATTGCTAGTTACACATTCTAAAACTGACTGGAGCTATATGTTAAGTGTCTCAGTTATTTATTTTACTGTTGCAGCCGACGTGTATACTGTTGAGTTGTCAGCGTACATAGACACACATGCTTTATTCATGATGAGTGGAAGGTAATTTGTAAAAACAGAAAACAATAATGGCCCTAGCCGGCTGCCCTGCGGTACACCACAATCAACGGAATTTGCATGAGAGAGGCTTCCATTAACGAAAACCATCTGTGTTCTATTAGATAGGTAACTCTCAATCCATAGTAAGGATTGCAAATCCGTAACACCTACGTTTTTTAAGCAATAGGTCATGATCAATGACATCAAAAGCTGCACAAAACAGCTCCCACAATCTTCTTACTATCACTTTCTTTCAGCCAATCATCAGTCATTTGTGTCAGTGCTGAGCATGTCACAATGTATTTACCATCCAGGTTGTCTGTACCAGGTGGTTTGTCCTTATTTATAGATAGCAACAACAACAAAAAAATCACCTCTTCCACACCTACTTTTTGGAACTCAAAACTACAGTTCTTGCTTTCATTATTTGATCCATTATGCATGAATATGAAGGCTCAGCATTTGTTGTTTGCATGTCATACCTAAATTTGCTAATCTTGTCAACAAAAAAGTTATTAATGTGGTTGGCAATTTCAAAGGGTTTTGTTATGAACAAGCCCTTTGATATTACCAACCACTTTAATAACTTTGCACATGCTTTGCAAATGCTTATGTGTGTCTCTCTCTCTCTCTCTGTGTGTGTGTGTGTCTGTGATGTGCAGCCAGGGTAGGCAGTGCTTACCCAGTGATAATCTAATAAAAAAGATGTTATGAAAAAACACATTTTAATTGTTTTTGTTATCTAATGTTTTTTTCAATGATTCTGGTAGTTTTTTTTTTATCTTAAAACTACATCCAAGCCTCAGGAAAGGCACCAGCGTATTCATGCCTTCCTTTCCAGACATTCAAATACATTAAAATGGTTGACGCCACGGCCGTTTCTGAGTCCAGTCACTGTAAATGGATAGGGTCAGCATAGGCGTCGCTGCATTGCCTAGCTTGAAGTAGCTTCATTCGTTGCATTGAGCCGATTTCATATTTTGCGCATTCGTATTGCCTAAACATGTTGCGTGGGTATTGTCTGGGTTAAGCTGTACACATTTGGGCGTCTACATAATTTGGCACTCGTATCCCCTGAACTGAACAAAGCTAGCTAGCAAAAACAACCTGACAAATGGACACTATTGCACCTCGAACAGTTTATAATGAAAGTTAAGAACAGACAGAGGCAGCATACTGAAGCTCTACAAGCAAGACGTGACATGACAGGCAATCACCATCTCCCTCACTGCTAGTAGTTGGGCAAGCGAACAGTGAATACTGGACTGTCGACTTGTCTGAAACGTCATTACCAATGAAAACTTTTTACCCTGACTTTTACACATCTTGGACATTCACGTTTGCTTTGTGGACGTAATGGGAATGGGAATGAATTTTTGTGTCAGTGTGAAAATGGAACCGAAGGAGGACTTGGGGATGTGTCTCCCACACAACCGTGGGCCTGCTGTGCAGAATAAAATAATAAAATAATGGACATGGGGTTCTGCTGTGACTTCTACAAAGCTGTCACTGAGAGGTTCACCAGACGAATGGACTTAATTTACAAGTAAAGGTAGGCCTAAATGCATTTCCCTTTGCAATTTATGGGTTAGGCTACTGTTAAATCATAAGAATAGACAACATCCCTTGGAATGCATTGTATTTATCAAGCTAGAATTTCTATTTGATAAGACATTGATTTGACATTTTTAACGGCATTTGTCAGTCATTTCAATTTCTGCGCATTGGAAGAATTGTAAATCCATTGTGAAAGCCTATGGAGTTTGCCTTGCGAATTAGGGGTGTGCCGAGTAACGGATATTAATTTTGATAAGAGTATTTTATGTAATTATCTGTGATCGGAAAATAGTAATTTTGAGCTGCCAGCACACATCTATCTCTCTTTAACTCAAACAGTGTGAAGCGCTGTGTGCTCTAAACAACTATTGGCTAGTTCTTCTGTCTGTAAAGAAACGGGTGGGGTATCGGTTGAGCCTGCTGCAACGATTGGATTAGAAGAAGCTGCTCTTCCTCTACTCTCGTTTCTCCATACAGACACACGCGCGGGTCTGTTTCACTCACTCACAGTCACTCGTCTCAGGGCACAAGTCTTCCCTTCTCCAAACATCATGTATGAATCAGAAACCATAGCTAGTCATTGTTGTTCAATGTAGTTATTTCCTGTCGACTTTGCTGAGGCCATATGGTTGTTTTTGTCTGTCTACTTGGCGTTGTTTAGTAGGCCTATTTGTCTGTCCATATAAGTATTCCATTGCTGACGACGTCTGTCGTTATGTCGTGATCCAAGCCCATGCTTGCTAGCTATTATTGTTTATTCTTGCCCAGACATGTTTACGGAGTGACAGATCATTAGAAAATAAAATGAAAAATGTAGATAGTTTCTTTGGATTGTACAAATGTTATTGCACAAGAAAATAAAATGAAAAATGTAGATAGTTTCTTTGGATTGTACAAATGTTATTGCACAAGTGTCCTGAGAGAAAAGTTTTGCTCCTCTCGAAAGTGAAACAATACACTGAGTGTACAAAACATTAAGGACACCTTCCAATATTTAGTTGCACCGCGGAATCGGAATATCGAAAATCTCTGGTCAACATTTTGGTCCTCAAGTAAAACTGATATATATATATTTATTTATTTTTGCCAATTTTGGTCTTTAGTAAAGGGCAAGCAAAAAGTTCCTTACCTTCTCCCCCTTCCACTTGCCTTCTCCATTTTTGCGTAATTCTGCAATCAGTTGGTTGTAATTTTGGATAGAGCAAACTTTTCCATATATTTGTGTTAACTGCACATGTAACATAACTCCACCTTTCCTATTCAAAATAACATTAACAAAGATAATTCCTTTTTTATTTTATTTTTCCATAAAGATTGTTTTTGATTATTATTATCAATTAGTATATTTGAATTTATCCATATTGTTTGTTGCAATATTTGTTCTGTCTTTTCTGGAGGATGAAACTGGAATTGCAACCAGCTTTGTATGGCTTGTTTTAGAAAGGGTGATATTTTGAAAAAGGTTCCATTTTCATTTAACTGAAAGTGAGAGGTTGTAACCTGGATAAAGGGAAAAGGGCCATGGTAGTGGACCATTCTTGATACACACAGGAAACTATTGAGCGTGTAAAACCCAGCAGCGTTACAGTTCTTGACACAAACCGGTGCGCCTGGCACCTACTACCATACCCAGTTCAAAGGCACTTACATATTTGTCTTGCCCATTAAGCCTCTGAATGTCACACATACACAATCCATGTCTCACTTGTCTCAAGGCTAAAAAATCATTCTTTAACCTGTCTTCTCCCCTTCATCTACACTGATTTAAGTGAATTTAACAAGTGACATCAATAAGGGATCATAGCGTTCACCTGGATTCACCTGGTCAGTCTGTCATGGAAAGAGCAGGTGTCCTTAATATTTTGTACACTCCGTGTATATGGGGCAAGTGAATTGGCAGTAGTAGCCAGCCATGCATTAGGCTATTTATTAGCCTATTTCATTGATAATTGAATAGGACTAAGTAAGTAAATCATGTGCATTTTCAAATGTCGGGGTCGTTTACCTTTGAACAGTGTGTGAATGAGTAAAGGAACATAACGATGCACTCTGAGATGTGCTCTGAGTGATAGTGCAGTAATGCACACTTGCTTTATAGGATTTACCGGCATTTAAAGCGCACTTCCGAGTTTTCCGATCATGAGTAAATCCGATTACGAGTATCACGCTTTGAACACACCGACTGTGCTTTGCGTTTTGGTACACCGGAAGTACATTCATTTCCAATGGAACGCTGCGTTTTCCTTGCGGCATTGCGTTGCAGTTGCAGTGCGTTCTGTGTGGTGCATACGTTGGATTTATCGAACGTATGCGTTAAACTGTATGCGTAAACGGGTTGACAGAAATGGTAGCAGAATGTGAATGTTTAACTTTTGTTGCACACATATCTAGATGATGCTGCGTACTATTTTGCGCAAATTCGCAGTCGGTGTGTTTAAAGCCTCAAGTGTGATAAAACGGAGTATGACGAGATCGACACACACCTATTGCGAATTATTCGGATTAAATGTGCCCATATATTGATATTTTAGTGCCACCTATCAGTTGTAACTGGAGATGAGACATCGGTCTATGGCTCATCTGAGATGAGCAGTGTGTCATTTTGTCAGATGATATGAAATATGCCACCATCCGAGGCTATTGCTTGTGTATCTTGGCTACATTGTTATTAACATTTGGTGAACATTGTTTGTCAATTTTGGTTAATAGCCTATGTCACTCTGGTTGTTGGAGCTGTTGTATGGGGAACTTGGGTTTATCAAGATTTATTTGGAAGTAAATCTGGCTTTGATAAAAAACAGTATTTACCCAGCCACCGACCTCACCACAAGCCACTGGTTTGTGTGTGTGTGCACGCGTGCGTGTGTGTGTGTTTGCTGCCCTTACATACCTTCTGTATCATGATGACATAAGGCCCCAGCATCTGAAATCCCCTGGCGAAGAACATGACGTTACTCCAGCCCAACACCAGACACACAGCCATGACAACTGCCTCCCCCTGCACCCCACTGACCCTGAACACACACAGCAGCACCACCAGGATCGCATAGGCAATACTGGGGAGGAAACACACAGGTTATTACACAGGTTATAAATGCTACATAGACATGACATAACAATAACAGCACTAGGCAGGTAATAAATGATACAAAGGCACCAAGGTTGACGTACAGAATGACATGGAAGGGTCCCCCCAGGGCCGTCTGTCCAAAGTACTGCTTGGCCCCCACTCTCAGCATATCTGGGATCTTAGGGATTGGGAATAACACAGATTATATTGACAGCCAATAATCTGATCTAATCTACAGTGTAAATATAAGTGAAATGTAAAACTACTGGATAATGTATATTTTACCTCCAGTAGCAGAATAACCAGGGCACCCAGGACACTGATCATCTCTCCTGCCAGACGCAAGTTGTCCCCATAGGTCACATAACTCTCCTACAGGGACAGAGAACAAGGCACGTGGATCACAAAGGGTTAATATGAACACCTTTGATTGTGGATTTGCACACAGGCTGTCATATGAAGGGGCCTTCATGTCTCCCCCACCTTCAGAGTTTTCTGCACGCGGATGGTTTTGTCCATGTCAGATACAGTGTAATTCTCTGGAGCGTCCTTTAGAGGGCGACACACACAGCACAGTGTGAAGGTCCCAATGTACAGGACGTACAGCAGCAGCAACAACCTGTACACAACACAATAACAACGTTAAAACAACATTAGAAATAGACAAATGACAGAATCTCAAACACATCAGAACATGATCACTGTATGTGTTGTTACCTAAAGTAGTGTTTTCCATAGAGGTTCCACTTGAGACTGACCAACTGCCTAACAGGAGTCACTTCCAGTATCCTCCTTGCCTGAGGGAGGAGATCATCATCATCATCAGTTTCCCTATAATGTATATTACACTGTATCATGTTTGTGTACTGTACTGTACTGTACCTCTCTCTTCTGGCTGCCCACGATGAGCTCCAGCACAGAGAGGTCGTCGTCGGCGACCAAGGAGTCGATCTCTGTGAGGTCATAGAGGTTAGAGGTCAGGGGTCCCAGGGTCCACTGGACCACTCGCCTCCGGTTGACCAGGTGCTGGAATGCCTGGGAGAGAGAAAAACGTAGAAAATGCAGCACCATTCATTTGTAGGTTAATTACATTTTATAAGAACATATACTGTATAAAGTATATTTGAGTATGGAGGAGATGGTTTTGACTACAGGTTATGTTAAAGATAATAGGGGAAACACTATCCCTCTTCTCCTCTCCTACTATGTCCCCGGTTTCTTTCTCTATTCCTCTCTGTCCTCACCACAAGGTTGCCCTCCTTGGCAGCCAGTTTGAAGGGCGTTAAGCCACGGTAGTTGGGCACCATGTCCAGTGGCACAGCCTGGTCCAGCTCAACGTCGTGTGCCAACAGCAAATCCAATGCCAGGCATGCTATAGTCTTATTGGGCTGCAGGACCAGGATGTGGAGCACTGTGTTACCTAGGGGGGAGAGAGGGAGATATTCAACTGCTGAAAAAAGGAGAAGAGAGAAGAGGAGGAGGACGAGGAGAAGAAAGAGAAGTGTTTCATACCATTGGAGTCCTGGGCCCTGGTGCTGGCTCCTGCGTTGATCACCATGGAGATGATGTCCTGATTCCCCACACAGGCCGCAAATGCCAGGATGTGCTCACCTAAAGTAAAGCAAACGGCATCAAACAACCACATTTCCCAAAATGCACTTCTCTAGTCCTTACAGACCACAAACAGTCATTTTACCATAGTAGAGCAGCCCTCCTCTTCTCTTCCTGAAGTACAGGCCTGTGACTCTGGGTGTGGCCACATCTGCCCCTCGACCAATCAGGCTGCGGACCAGGTTAACGTTCTGATTCACCACGGCAACGTGGAGAGGTGTCATGCCTGATTGAGATCGACAGAGAGAGAATATATGATTGTGTGATTGAATATCTGTGTGAGTTTTATAATATTATAGTGTGTTTGTCCTTTGTTTGTGAGAGTGTATGTACCAAGGAAGAGGTCAGAGGTCATGGGCTCATTGATGAGTTCAGGTGCTCCGTCCATCAGAGCTACAGCAGCTTCCATGTTATCATTCAGAACTGCCACATGCAGAGCGGTCTCCCCCAGAGCACCTCTCTCAAAGATGTTAGTGGACGCACAGTCCAGAAGTTTCTTAATGCAACCTGCACTGTTCTCTTTGGCCGCAAAGAAGAGAGGGACGTCGTTTGTTCTATGGGAGAGAGAGTGTGTTTGCAAGTTAGAAATCTAATGCTGCGTTCAGAACATCTTGTAAATTCTTAAAAATATCAGCATACGACTGGGAAATTCCTTTTAAACGCCCCTCCAGCTGGTAATTACTAGTGGGAAACTGTCTATCATCTCTGAGCTCAGACTTCTCCCTCATGCTGAGCTCTGACGTCACATATTAAGGAAATGACCTCGTTTACAGCATTTTCGGCAGTTAAATGCAACAACAAAACAATATTTATAAAAAACCAAACTATTAAGATGGTTTTTAAATAGCTGTACTTTTAGTTTATGGTTGACTCAGCTTGTTTGCCATTAGCCAATCTGCAATCTCAATGAGTTAAAAGCATGTGAACACACACAACTGTTGCTCCCACTTGGGGCATAATATCAACCAACACTTCAGTAGCTGTTATTTTCTTTACCAATAGGAGACTCACCGTTTGTTCTGTAGCAAAAAAGTTTCATCCAGCATCTCGTTCCACCCCTTCCTGTTCTGGAGGCGGAACCTGAGCTGGCTCCACCAATGGTTGAGCTCACCTGGAGCAGATCGTGCCAGGGGCGGGGCCATCCTTTCATAGGGTGAGTCTATTTGAAACAGCTGGGATGAGAGAGAAATGTGCATGTGTGTGAGACAAATGAAGTGTCAGAAACAGAGATATCCTATGCTGCAACCTGGTCTCAGAGCATTTTATTTTATTCTGTACATAAATCCGAGACACTCCATTTAGTGTGATATGTTACATTTCGTATGGTATGTATTTTAATTGGATGTCCATCACCCATTTCGTATGACATGTTACGAATTACAATTCGTATCATATGTTACTAATTACCAAAACGTACAATACGTTACGAATTTGCAAAACTTATGATATGTTACGAATTCTAGCTAGGTGGCTAGGTGGCTAACATTAGCTAGCTGGCTAACGTTAGCTAGGCTAGGCTAGGGGTTAAGGTTAGGGGTTAGGGTTAAGTTTAGGAGTTAGGTTAAAGGGTTAAGGTTAAGGTTAGGGTGTGACGAAGGGTTAGTTAAAAGGGTTAAGGTTAGGGTTAGGGGAAGGGTTAGCTAACATGCTAAGTAGTTGCAAGTGAATGGCAGTCGTAGCCAGCCATGCATTAGGCTAATTATTAGCCTATTCGTTGATAATTGAAAGGACTAGGAAGTAATCATGGGCATTTTCAAATGTGGGGTTGTTACCTTTGAACCGTGTGTGGAATGAGAAAAGGAACATAACGATGCACTCTGAGATGCGTGCGTGGTGATAGTGCAGTAATGCACACTTGCTTTATAGGCTTTACCGCATTTAAGCGCACTTCCGAGTTTTCCGATCATGAGTATAGCCGATTAACCAGTATCACGTTTGAAACACACCGGACTGTGCTTTGCGTTTTGTACACCAAATACATTCATTCCAAGGGAATGATGCGTTTGCCTTGCAGCATTGCGTGCAGTGGCAGTGCGTCCTGTTGGTGCATACGTTTGGATTTATCGAACGTATGCGTAAACTGTATGCGTAAAACGGGTTGCAAGAATATGGTAGAGAATTGAATGTTTAACTTTTGTTGCACACATATCTAGATGATGCTGCGTACTATTTTGCGCAATTTCGCAGTCGGTGTGTTCAAAGCCTCAAGTGTGATAAAACTGAGTATGACGAGATCGACACACCCCTATTGCGAATTATTCAGATGAAATGTGTCCATATATTGATATTTTAGTGCCACCTATCAGTTGTAACTGGAGATGAGACATCGGTCTATGGCTCATCTGAGATGAGCAGTGTGTCATTTTGTCAGATGATATGAAATATGCCACCATCCGAGGCTATTGCTTGTGTATCTTGGCTACATTGTTATTAACATTTGGTGAACATTGTTTGTCAATTTTGGTTAATAGCCTATGTCACTCTGGTTGTTGGAGCTGTTGTATGGGGAACTTGGGTTTATCAAGGTTTATTTGTAAGTAAATCTGGCTTTGATAAAAAACAGTACTTACCCAGCCACCTACCTCACCACACGCCACTGGTTTGTGTGTGTGTGCATGCGTGCGTGTGTGTCTGCTGCCCTTACGTACCTTCTGTATCATGATGACATAAGGCCCCAGCATCTGAAAGCCTCGGGCGAAGAACATGACGTTACTCCAGCCCAGTACCAGACACACAGCCATGACAACTGCCTCCCCCTGCACCCCACTGACCCTGAACACACACAGCAGCACCACCAGCATCGCATAGGCAATACTGGGGAGGAAACACACAGGTTATTACACAGGGTATAAATGCTACATAGACATGACATAATAATAACATCACTAGGCAGGTAATAAAGGATACATAGGTACCAAGGTTGACGTACAGAATGACATGGAAGGGTCCCCCCAGGGCCGTCTGTCCAAAGTACTGCTTGGCCCCCACTCTCAGCATATCTGGGATCTTAGGGATTGGGAATAACACAGATTATATTGACAGCCAATAATCTGATCTAATCTACAGTGTAAATATAAGTGAAATGTAAAACTATTGGATAATGTATATTTTACCTCCAGTAGCAGAATAACCAGGGCACCCAGGACACTGATCATCTCTCCTCCCAGACGCAAGTTGTCCCCATAGGTCACATAACTCTCCTACAGGGACAGAGAACAAGACACGTGGATCACAAAGGGTTAATATGAACACCTTTGATTGTGGATTTGCACACAGGCTGTCATATGAAGGGGCCTTCATGTCTCCCCCACCTTCAGAGATTTCTGCACTCGGATGGTTTTGTCCATGTCAGATACAGTGTAATTCTCTGGAGCATCCTTTAGAGGGCGACACACACAACACAGAGTGAAGATCCCAATGTACAGGACGTACAGCAGCAGCAACAACCTGTACACAACACAATAACAACGTTAAAACAACTTTAGAAATAAACAAATGACAGAATCTCAAACACATTAGAACATGATCACTGTATGTGTTGTTACCTAAAGTAGTGTTTTCCATAGAGGTTCCACTTGAGACTGACCAACTGCCTAACAGGAGTCACTTCCAGTATCCTCCTTGCCTGAGGGAGGAGATCATCATCATCATCAGTTTCCCTATAGTGTATATTACACTGTATCATGTTTGTGTACTGTACTGTACTGTACCTCTCTCCTCTGGCTGCCCACGATGAGCTCCAGCACAGAGAGGTCGTCGTCGGCGACCAAGGAGTCGATCTCTGTGAGGTCATAGAGGTTAGAGGTCAGGGGTCCCAGGTTCCATTGGACGACTCGCCTCCGGTTGACCAGGTGCTGGAATGCCTGAGAGAGAGATAGAAAAACGTAGAAAATGCAGCACCATTCATTTGTAGGTTAATGACATTTTTATAAGAACATATACTGTATAAAGTATATTTGAGTATGGAGGAGATGGTTTTGACTACAGGTTATCTTAAAGATAATAGGGGAAAGACTATCCCTCTTCTCCTCTCCTATTATGTCCCCGGTTTCTTTCTTTATTCCTCTCTGTCCTCACCACAAGGTTGCCCTCCTTGGCAGCCAGTTTGAAGGGCGTTAAGCCACGGTAGTTGGGCACCATGTCCAGTGGCACAGCCTGGTCCAGCTCAACGTCGTGTGCCAACAGCAGATCCAATGCCATGCATGCTATAGTCTTATTAGGCTGCAGGACCAGGATGTGGAGCACTGTGTTACCTAGGGGGGAGAGAGGGAGATATTCAACTGCTGGAAAAAGGAGAAGAGAGAAGAGGGGGAGGACGAGGAGAAGAAAGAGAAGTGTTTCATACCAATGGAGTCCTGGGCCCTGGTGCTGGCTCCTGCGTTGATCACCATGGAGATGATGTCCTGATTCCCCACACAGGCCGCAAATGTCAGGATGTGCTCACCTAAAGTAAAGCAAACGGCATCAAACAACCACATTTCCCAAAATGCACTTCTCTAGTCCTTACAGACCACAAACAGTCATCTTACCATGGTAGAGCAGCCCTCCTCTTCTCTTCCTGAAGTACAGGCCTGTGACTCTGGGTGTGGCCACATCCGCCCCTCGACCAATCAGGCTGCGGACCAGGTTAACGCTCTGATTCACCACGGCAACGTGGAGAGGTGTCATGCCTGAAAAAAATAAATAAAAAATGCCTGATTGAGATCGACAGAGAGAGAATATATGATTGTGTGATTTAATATCTGTGTGAGTTTTATAATATTATAGTGTGTTTGTCCATTATTTGTGAGAGTGTATGTACCAAGGAAGAGGTCAGAGGTCATGGGCTCATTGATGAGTTCAGGTGCTCCGTCCATCAGAGCTACAGCAGCTTCCATGTTATCATTCATAACTGCCACATGCAGCACGGTCTCCCCCAGAGCACCTCTCTCAAAGATATTAGTGGACGCACAGTCCAGAAGTTTCTTAATGCAACCTGCACTGTTCTCTTTGGCGGCAAAGAAGAGAGGGACGTCGTTTGTTCTGTGGGAGAGAGAGTGTGTTTGCAAGTTAGAAATCTAATGCTGCGTTCAGAACATCTCGTAAATATCAGCAAATCCACTTGAACGCCCCTCCAGCTGGTAATTACTAGTGGGAAACTGTCTATCATCTCTGAGCTCAGACTTCTCCCACATGCTGAGCTCTGACGTCATATATTAAGGAAATTACCTCGTTTACAGCATTTTTGGCAGTTAAATGCAACAACAAAACAATATTTATAAAAAACCAAACTATTAAGATGTTTTTTAAATAGCTGTACTTTTAGTTTATGGTTGACTCAGCTTGTTTGCCATTAGCCAATCTGCAATCTCAATTAGTTAAAAGCATGTGAACACACACAACTGTTGCTCCCACTTGTTATGAACGCAGCATAATATCAACCAATACGTCAGTAGCTGTTATTTTTTTTACCAATAGGAGACTCACCGTTTGTTCTGTAGCAAAAAAGTTTCATCCAGCATCTCGTTCCACCCCTTCCTGTTCTGGAGGCGGAACCTGAGCTGGCTCCACCAATGGTTGAGCTCACCTGGAGCAGATCGTGCCAGGGGCGGGGCCATCCTCTCATAGGGTGAGTCTATTTGAAACAGCTGGGATGAGAGAGAAATGTGCATGTGTGTGAGACAAATGAAGTGTCAGAAACAGAGAGATATCCTATGTTGCAACCTGGTCTCAGAGCATTTTATTTTATTCTGTACATAAAATCCGAGACACTCCATTTAGTGTGATATGTTACATTTCGTATGGTATGTATTTTAATTGGATGTCCATCACCCATTTCGTATGATATGTTACGAATTACAATTCGTATCATATGTTACTAATTACCAAAACGTACAATACGTTACGAATTTGCAAAACTTATGATATGTTACGAATTCTAGCTAGGTGGCTAGGTGGCTAACATTAGCTAGCTGGCTAACGTTAGCTAGGCTAGGCTAGGGGTTAAGGTTAGGGGTTAGGGTTAAGTTTAGGAGTTAGGTTAAAGGGTTAAGGTTAAGGTTAGGGTGTGACGAAGGGTTAGTTAAAAGGGTTAAGGTTAGGGTTAGGGGAAGGGTTAGCTAACATGCTAAGTAGTTGCAAAGTAGATAAAAAGTAGTAAGTAGTTGAATTTTTGCCAATTAGCTAAAATGCTAAAGTTGTCCGTGATCAGATTCAAACTCACAACCTTTGGGTTGCTAGATGTTTGCGTTATAAGCCAACCCATCCACCCCGACCAAGTAAACATTTGTCTTATGTAACCATACCAAACATAACAAATCATAGTCATTTGAATGTCCCGGATTTACATTTACTATGTTACGTCTAGTCTATGAGACCACGCTGTACCATCAGACTTAATTTATTTGATTTATTTCACCTTTATTTAACCAGGTAAACCAGTTGAGAACAAGTTCTCATTTACAACTACGACCTGGCCAAGATAAAGCAAAGCAGTGCGATAAAAACAACAACACAGAGTTACATATGGGGTAAAACAAAACATAAAGTCAAAAATGCCACAGAAAATATATATACAGTGTGTGCAAATGTAGCAAGTTATGGAGGTAAGGCAATAAATAGGCCATAGTGCAAAATAATTACAATTAGTATTAACACTGGAATGATAGATGTGCAAGAGATGATGTGCAAATAGAGATACTGCGGTACAAATGAGCAGAATAAATAACAATATGGGGATGAGGTAGTTGAGTGGGCTAATTTCAGAAGGGCTGTGTACAGGTGCAGTGATCGGTAAGGTGCTCTGACAACTGATGCTTAAAGTTAGTGAGGGAGATTAGAGTCTCCAGCTTCAGAGATTTTTGCAGTTCGTTCCAGTCATTGGCAGCAGAGAACTGGAAGGAATGGCGGCCAAAGGAGGTGTTGGCTTTGGGGATGACCATTGAGATATACCTGCTGGAGCACATACTACGGGTGGGTGTTGCTATGGTGACCAATGAGCTAAGGCAGAGATTTGCCTAGCAGTGATTTATAGATGGCCTGGAGCCAGTGGGTTTGGCGACAAATATGTAGTGAGGACCAGCCAACGAGCGTACAGGTCACAGTGGTGGGTAGTATATGGGGCTTTGGTGACAAAACGGATAGCACTGTAATAGACTACATCCAATTTGCTGAGTAGAGTGTTGGAGGCTATTTTGTAAATGACATCGCCAAAGTCAAGGATCGGTAGGATAGTCCGTTTTACGAGGGCATGTTTGGCAGCATGAGTGAAGGAGGCTTTGTTGCGAAATAGGAAGCAGATTCTAGATTTAACTTTGGATTGGAGATGCTTAATGTGAGTCTGGAAGGAGAGTTTACAGTCTAACCAGACACCTAGGTATTTGTAGTTGTCCACATACTCTAGGTCAGACCCGTCGAGAGTAGTGATTCTAGTCGGGTGGGCGGGTTCCAGCAGCATTCGATTGAAGAGCATGCATTTAGTTTTACTAGTGTTTAAGAGCAGTTGGAGGCTACGGAAGGAGTGTTGTATGGCATTGAAGCTCGTTTGGAGGTTTGTTAACACAGTGTTCAATGAAGGGCCAGATGTATGCAAAATGGTGTCGTCTGCGCAGAGGTGGATCTGAGAGTCACCAGCAGCAAGAGCAACATCATTGATATACACAGAGAAAAGAGTCGGCCCAAGAACTGAACCCTGTGGCATTCCCATAGAGACTGCCATAGGTCCAGACAACAGGCCCTCTGATTTGACACATTGAACTCTATCTGAGAAGTAGTTGGTGAACCAGGCGAGGCAGTCATTTGAGAAACCAAGGCTATTTAGTCTGCCAATAAGTATGTGGTGGTTGAAAGTCGAAAGCCTTTGCCAGGTCGATGAAGACGGCTGCACAGTACTGTCTATTATCGATCGCGGTTATAATATCGTTTAGGACCTTGAGCGTGGCTGAGGTGCACCCATGACCAGCTCGGAAACCGGATTGCATAGCGGAGAAGGTACGGTGGGATTCGAAATGGTCGGTGATCTGTTTGTTAACTTGGCTTTCAAAAACTTTAGAAAAGCAGGGCAGGATGGATATAGGTCTGTAACAGTTTGGATCTAGAGTGTCACCCCCTTTGAAGAGGGGGATGACCGCGGCAGCTTTCCAATCTCTGGGGATCTCAGACGTTACGAAAGAGAGGTTGAACAGGCTAGTAATAGGGGTTGCGACAATTTCGGCGGCTATTTTTAGAAAGAAAGGGTCCAGATTGTCTAGCCCAGATGATTTGTAGGGGTCCAGATTTTCCAGCTCTTTCAAAACATCAGCTGTCTGAATTTGTGTGAAGGAGAAGGGGGGGGGGGGGGGGGGGGGGGGGGGGGGGGGGGGCATGGGCAAGTTGCAGCGGAGAGTGCAGAGCTGGTGGCCGGGGGGGGTAGTGGTAGCCAGGTGGAAAGCATGGCCAGCTGTAGCAAAATGCTTGTTGAAATTCTCGATTATTGTAGATTTATCGGTGGTGATAGTGTTTCCTAGCCTCAGTGCAGTGGGCAGCTGGGAGGAGGAGGTGCTCTTATTCTCTGTGTCCCAAAACTTTTTGGAGTTAGTGCTACAGGATGCACATTTCCGTTTGAAAAAGCTAGCCTTTGCTTTCCTAACTGCTTGTGTATATTGGTTCCTAACTTCCCTGAAAAGTTGCATATCGCGGGGCCATTCGATGCTAATGCAGTAAGCCACAGGTTGTTTTTGTGCTGGTCAAGGGCAGTCAAGTCTGAGGAGAACCAGGGGCTATATCTGTTCTTAGTTCTGAATTTGGAATGGGGCATGCTTATTTAAGATTGAGAGGAAAGCACTTTTAAAGAACAACCAGGCATCCTCTACTGACGGAATGAGATCGATATCCATCCAGGATACCTGGGCCAGGTCATTTAGGAAGGCCTGCTCGCGAAAGTGTTTTAGGGAGCGTTTGACAGTGATGAGGGGTGGTCGTTTGACCGCAGACCCGTTACGGACGCAGGCAATAAGGCAGTGATCGCTGAGATCCTGGTTGAAGACAGAGGAGGTGGATTTAGAGGGTAAGTTAATCAGGATGATATCTATGAGGGTGCCCATGTTTACGGATTTAGGGTTGTACCTGGTAGGTTCCTTGATAATTTGTGTGAGATTGAGGGCATCTAGTTTGGATTGTAGGATGGCTGGGGTGTTAAGCATATCCCAGTTTAGGTCACCAAGCAGTACGAACTCTGAGGATAGATGGGGGGCAATCAATTCACATATGGTGTCCAGGGCACAGCTGGGGGCTGAGGGGGGTCTGTAGCAAGCGGCAACAGAGAGAGATTTTTTCTGGAAAGATGGATTTTTAGAAGTAGGAGTAACTACTTTAACTCATAAAGACGGTACTAAAGTCAAAACTAGAATGTGTGAGCTGTTCCGGTCAGCACCTTCCCACAGACCAGAGCTGAACCAGAAACCAGAGGTCCCCATTTCCCCATTAATCCAGGCAAAGGCAGATGTCCAAAATAAGGTTGTTTCTGTATTCTGTTTTGTTCTGTTCTATTTTATTATGTTCTATTCTATTCTAAAGAGTTCTGTACAATTTTTTAATTAAACAATTGGGTCGTTCCACAACAAGAGTGCCTTTTGCATCTCTTTGATATTTTAAGTAGAAATTGTGCACCAAAATTGAATTTTAAAAGCCTGTTATATTAAATGCCCATGGCATTTTAGCAGACGCTGTCATCCAGAGCGATATACAGTAGAGAGTGCATACATTTTCGTGGTTTTTCATACTGGTACCAAGTTGGTTTCAAACCCAAAACCCTGGTATTGCAAGCAACATGCTCAACAAACTGAACTACATGGGAAATGAACTGCTGCACTTGAGAAAACAACCCCTCACATATCCAAGATTGTGTCCCAAATGTCACCCCATAGCCTGTATAGTACAAGACTCCTGACAAGAGCCCTATGGCCCCTGGTCAAAGTGGTGCTCTAGAAAAGGGAAAAAGGGTGCCATTTGGGACATAGCCCTAGCCCCTTTAATACAGGAGAATTCAATCAATCCGATTTTTAATATGAATAAAGACTTGCTAAAGTGCCAGAATTCAGCATTATGACATGTCCCATTTTGACACGTGGTGCTCCCTTTGTAACTTCTAGGAAGATTTTAACCCACTTAACCCCAACATTTCTCCAAGTTTTCACCATGATTGTAAAACCCTAGTTATTTTGCTGCTTTGACAGTCATTTCTGAAGATTTGTATTTATTTCATGTGATTAGTGTGATTCATTTACAACTGTCCCTCATTTTAAGGTCAACCCTGTTATATGAACTGAACTTTCAATTTAATATGGTGAAACTATTCGTTTTTTCAATATTTTTTCCAAAATTTAACATCTAACAGTCAAATCATAGTGTAAAAGCAGGTGAGCTGGTTCTTCTCTTTTTGGACATTTTCTGGTGTTTTGTGGTGGAAAACTGAGCATGTCGAGCATAAATGTCAACACTATTACCCATAGATAACAATGCCATTCCTTTTATGAAGCGTGCATTCAATTCCCACCTCCTGTTGCACACAACAAGCTTCCATTCTACCTGCCACAAGAGGATTCATGGTTGATTTAAGATGAAATCGTCAACCCTGTTACGATCAACCTTGTTACATTATTTGGCACTTAAAAGGCACTTACTATAGTCCTTTATACAGTTGAAGTCGGAAGTTTACATACACTTAGGTTGGAGTCATTAAAACTTGTTTTTCAACCACTCCACACATTTCTTGTTAACAAATTATAGTTTGGGCAAGTTGGTTAGGACATCTACTTTGTGCATGACACAAGTACTTTTTCCAACAATTGTTTACAGACAGATTATTTCACTTATAATTCACTGTATCACAATTCCAGTGGGTCAGAAGTTTACATACATTAAGTTGACTGTGCCTTTAAACAGCTTGGAAAATTCCAGAAAATTATGTCATGGCTTTTGAAGCTTCTGATAGGCTAATTGACATTATTTGAGTCAATTGGAGGTGTACCTGTGGATGTATTTCAAGGCCTACCTTCAATCTCAGTGCTTCTTTGCTTGACATCATGGGAAAATCAAAAGAAATCAGCCAAGACCTCAGAAAAAAAATTGTAGACCTCCACAAGTCTAGTTCATCCTTGGGAGCAATTTCCAAATGCCTGAAGGTTCCACGTTCATCTGTACAAACAATAGTACGCAAGTATTAACACCATGGGACCAGGCAGCCGTCATACCGCTCAGGAAGGAGACGCGTTCTGTCTCCTAGTGATG